TATAATCACAAAACTATATTCGATGTTAAAACTGAAACTATGCTTTTAATTTAGTAGTAATAATAATAAGGCATTTTAATAAAAGTACGGATAGCATTTAAAGATGACGATGAACGCCAATGTTTAATCTCGTATAATTTACATACAAATATTAATTCAATGTGCTTGAAGCTGTTTTCTATTTGCTCGGATTTCAGGCTGTATAATATTTGGCTTACTTTTAACGCCCGTGTTTCAAATTTATACAAAATTAAATTTAACATAAACGTTATGTCACTTATTCAACAATAAAATGTCTCCGTTTTCCTTAAAATAAAAACAAGTTTCAAATAAAATTGCTGTCTTACACCTCATAATCATCAAATCAAACCTTGCAAATCAACGTAAACGTCCAATCAATTAGAATATAAATATATTTATATATATTTTTTTTAATTAATTGTTAGAAGTAATCAATTTGGGATTTAAAATTCGAAAAAATGTATATATATATATATATATATATATATATATATGTAAAATAATAGGAACACTAATTTCGATTGCTATGATTTTAATTTTGTTCCCGTATATTTTTGGTAAAGTTTAAATGAACAACAAATTTAAGTATTACTGCTGTTTTTTAAGTGGTGATCTACTTTAAATAGGTTGCCATGGTATAAATGGATTTTTGCACGCTATGTTATGCCAAAAGCTCTTGTCTGCGTAATTTTTATGTGTATAAACATTTAACATTGGCCAAATATTCGATACCGTTATTTTATCATAAAATATTATATGAAACACACTAGCTTAACCTACAAACGTTAGAATGATATTTTGTAAATGTTATACGAGTTATTTAAATTAAGCGTAAAAAACGTGCATACTGAAGCAATTATTTGCCAATTTTTGTTAATCCCACGAAAATACTTCTATTTAATTGTAATAAACAGAATTGTTTGTATTTTTTCATTATTTTTTGTTAAAAAAGTGGGTTTTTTCTTTTACCTTTTTTACAATAAAAACTATGAAACTACACAAGATCGGATTAAATACGATAAATAGAATTACACTTTGTAAAGACCTCGAAGTACAAAAAAAAAAAAGTTTTTAATATTAAAACAAAATTGCACATCGATAAAAACATGTTTACTTCCTGCTTTTCAGTTTATACATATGGTTTATAAGTTTTATGTTTTCTTTTTGTTCCAACAACGCAAAATCGCCTAATAATACCTTCTAGTAATAGAATTAATTAAATTGAATTATAATATTACACTAAGTTTTACGTAACACAATAAGTAACATTTAAAATATGAAAGAAATAAGTAGGGGGAGGGCTGCTGGGGGGATGATGATTTGTCATGTTTTTATAAGTATTCTATTATTGTAATATTATTTTTAAGACAATCAAATGTACGTGTTTAATTAATTGTAAGTGGGTCTTGTACGCAATTTATATTATGCATTCTTAATGGCTAAAACTTGTTTTCAATAAATATTTTACAAATATTTTTTTTTTCTAAACCGTTTAAAATGTTTTGTAAAAATTGTAACAACGCCTTATCGACTCCCACGTACATCATCAAGCGTATGAGCATTTATTAGTAAAAAAAAAAAAAGGTTTAAGCAGAACCAAAAAGTCAAATTGATAAGTTAAATAATTATACGTAATGTACAACACAACAAACAAGTGTAATCAGATACGTCATCATCGCTTACTATTAAAACTATATTCCCCTCCCACCATAGAAAAGGGGCCACCTATAAGGAGTATATTAAACAGTCAATTGTATTGGACAATTTTACTAGAATACAAAACGTGTTGGCAGCCATATACAACGCCAAGTACCGAATAAAATATTTTCGCAAAACAACCTTATAAATAAAATATTTTTTAAGTTAATTATTTTACAAAAAAAAAAGTAAAATTCTTAATCTTGACTTTTATTAAGAAGTTCAACGCAAAAAAACACCATTATGAGCTTACAGAATATAAAACACACAAATAAGACTATGTAATAATAACATTAACACAAAAACAAAAACAATTTATGGCGAAATCCCAATAAATCTTATACTTAGTTGCCAATTTGAAAACGAGAATGGAGACGGAAAAGACTAAATCATTTGGAGCTTTATACGATGTAGACCCGCAACCAAATAAATCTGTCGGATAAATTCAAATTTACATAATATTATTTATTTATTTATTATTATTTTCTTTTTTGGACTTCCACGATGGTACAAGAAATCCAATACCGTTCTTATGCTAACTCGTGGTTACAAACAAAGAGTCCGTTGATGCGCAATCAAAATTTTAAAACTAGTAAAAAAAAAAAATCCAAAAAGACAAAGGTGATTTTGAACTAAACAAAATCAGAAATTTTATCCGAGACCGAGAGAAGCGTTATGTAATATTAAAAATTATTTCATGTTAGACGTAAAGTTAAAATGCCAGCAACAAAAATAGATATTTCTAAAAGTAGTTTTTCGTAGTTTTTAAATGTTTTAAAGGTATAAAATGTAAATATAAAAACTTAATCAAGTGTTCTATTACACAAAAACTTTTTATAGGATGTTATAAAAAATTTTAAAGTCGTTAAATCTGATGCAAATTGAATGAAAAATGTATTGCTAAACTTGTATTTTGGTTGTTACCGCCAGTTTCGTGTTACTTTTGATATCAATTACGATAGTTCAATACATTTTGCTACAGAACCAGCTATTTTAAATTACAAAATATATTCTCTCAAACTAATATGTATTTGAAAAAATATACTTTACTATAAAATATTCATGAATTACAAATTTGTATAATTCATATTTATTCAAGAACCGTAGGAAAAAATAGACTAAAAAACAACTGACTTTTATTTAGATCCGTGAAAAAAAAAAAGAAACAAACTGATTTTTTGCTGAATTTAATACTTGTTTATCGTAGGTAGAGAGGCTCAATCTCTAATATCCAACAAAACTAATCTGCAGGTTGCACTCATTTTTCTGTCTTTTTATTTTAAAAATCTTGAGAGGGGTCAACACACAATGTGGACTTTACCCTCTCCCCGGTCCATAAAATCGTCACAGCAATGACCAGACACTTAGTGTACAGTATATTCTGTGTATAATCAAAATTCAAACAAGCCGTTCTGTGAGGCTTTTAAACGAAAAAGACGAGCAACAAAATGATCTTAATTAACCTAATATTATAATGAAATGTTCTATTTATTTCCGTAGCATTTCGTCTAAAACTTCTACGTTAAGAAAAGAGGTCTACTTAACAAATGCATTATATGCGGGGGGCGGTAAAACACAATGATCAGTCCCAGTAAATTCGCCACAATGACTATTTTTGTATTTGTTTAACATTACACCACTATTGCACTTGCCTCGTTAAGTTGCAGTCCCCTTTCCGCCTCACCCTTACCAAAATAGAACATCTCTCGGACAATATTAATGATGCCCAATGAGTATACCGACTTTTGAGAGATTTCACTGCATTCATATGATGTTCATATATCGAAATTATGTCTGTGAATATACCAACAATCAACGCGTTGGGATGGGGAGGGGCGACCGTTTTAAATTGATCTTTTTCTTGTATTTTGTTTTCAATTTAAATAATGTCAGGTATTACGGAAAATACAAAGAATACACAAATGGTTTGTCACTGTGCTGTAATTTATTCGTCTACTATACTCCTGTGTACGATGGTACGAGAATCAAAACCAGTTTCTCTTTTCAGTTTTTACTTAATGCACAACGACGGGCAGAGAGAGGGGGCAACCCAAGTCGTCGTCATAGGGTACGGACATTCGGGTTGTGTCTCCTTGTGACTAATAAAACGAGTAGGTACGTTTTCATATTTTTAATAGCTCACGCAACAAAACAGTGCAGCCAAATGCATATTATTATTATTATTAGTAATATTTCAACAATAAATTGCATTCAGTTTTGCTGCGACGACCGGGCACAATACAACGTATTATAATAATATACTATAATATTATTTTATAACAACCGAGTTTGTAATACACACTAATCCTGAACAGGTATCCGAAGCAACCTCTTTGTTGTTCTTGAGCGAGCACGTTTGCCGATAACCAACGGAATAAAGCGAAATTACACGGTTTCGACGACGAAAAAAAAAACATAACGATATAATATTAAATAAACACCCCCCCCCCCCCCACACACACACACACCAGACGTTATCTCTACCGTCACGATAAACCTTTGCCTATAGTGTAAGATTATAATACAAACGGGTACATTTGTCTGCAAATTACACAGACGAAAAAGTTTATTTTTAATTCTGCCTCCCTTTCGATTTCGGCGAGTGATGCATTTTACCCGAGAGCACCTGTTTATTATTTTTTTTTTATTGTCATTGACCGTCGTCATAGTATATTATTATTTTATCCCGCAGCGGTTGTGGACCCGAAATAGCTTAAATAGCCGTATCCATACATACACACAGAGTCAAGGCTTCGCGCGGCACATGAACTTGACCAAAGGTCACGCAGCCGCCACCGACAACAGGTGCGTGTATTAACATCTCTATTGTCGATTGCCAATCAAAAAACCAACAACCCCGTTCGAAACACACGACACTTGGATGGGTATTTCGAAAAAAGGGTCTCAGCCCTTAGATGAGGATTTAACGAGCCGTCCGACGAGGCATTCGGTCGTGGGTGTCCCCCCCGGTGAAGTCGGGTTGCGAAAAACGGCCGTACCGCAGCTGCTGCTGGTAAAAAGTCAACGGCGACGGTGTTATTGTATCGATTGATAACACACACACACACACACGACACGGAGAGAAAGTGACCGACAAGCGGTGTCGGTGATAATAACTATAATATACATTATTACAGCCCTGGCCGTGATCCTACGAAAACACGTCCCGGTCTTCCGGGCACCCCGACCTATCCACCAGCATTGTTTTCGTACACTGCCCCCGTGGGGGGGGGGGGGCAGGGATTTTGTGTTTACATAAAGCATATTGTTTTCGTTTTTACCTGCAGAATCGTCCGAAAACGGCGCTGCCATTTGTTCCAGGTCCACGTCGTCGTCGTCCCGTCGGACCGACGGACCCGCGGCCGCCGCCGACGTTTCGCCGTTGCCGTCGCCTTCCATTTTAAACGCTATCACCACTACCCGTTCGGTCTGTTGTTGTTGTTGTGGCTGTTGTGGCTGTGGCGGTTGCTGCTGCTGCTGCTGCTGTTGGTCATCGTTACCGCCGTTTTCATCGCCGGCCATGATGGCCGCCGTGTACTCGGTCAATTGTGCCGTCATTTTTCCACGGCATTTCCCGAAATCCGCAACGACGACGACGACGATGTAGGTCGGTAGGCCATCACTTGCACTTGTTATTATTTTTTTTCACGGCAACGCGCGCACGTCGTCGTCGGACAATCACGTAAACACGCGCACACGCGCACGCACACGGCACGCAGGACGGGCAACCGTACGGGCGACGTCGAAAATGTCCACAGCCGCGATGTCGCGCGTGTGTCAACTTGCTGTCACGACGGATCTCGATGGGTTTCTTTTCAAAAAGAAAAAATATTTTAGCTCTTTTCCGGGCGGCAGTTCGTCGTTTCCCGGACCATACGGGCGATAACACGACGGCGCCAAGGATATTGTTTTGGACGCGCGAGGGGGGAAGACGGACAACAAAAAAAAAAGTGAAAACGAATATAATTTGGGGAAAAAAAAAACACGCACACGCGCGCGCACACAACACACAATAAAAACATCGTAGGTCCGTCGTAGCTCGCGTGTGCTACAGTGTGACCGCGTGCGCGGTATCGTGCGAAAAGTAGGTCACCCGGTATTTTTTTTTTATATTTTAAAATCTGTTTCGCACCGCCGGTACGAGGACTTGCCAGTCGTTTCAGACTTTTTACACGGTAGCCAGAACCCGCGAACGGCAAAACACATTCGCAAAGGGCGAAAACAACGACGCGGTCGTCGCCTTTTCCCGCCCGAACGACGACACCTGTCGCGTGCGACAACAAGTCGGTTGGCGACACTGTGACGACAAAACGTCACCTGATAAATCGTTATCACGTCCTGAACGGTTGGTTCTCGGAAAGTGTATGTGTATCAAAGAAAGACCCAAAACCTGCACACCCGACCCGATGTTATGTTATTATCACACATCGCAAGATATTGGCTTCTTGAAAAATATTGTACGATTTTCGGTCATGATCTACCACTGTAGTCGAATAATCCGTTAAAATCCGTACAACTCGTTATGGCGGTCACCACTACATTGCAGGTAACGGAATCTGTCTTCAACCACTTTGTCCTTGTACTGATTTTCTTCTATTCTTGATGATTAAGCGAATTTCGTTGGACATTTACGTATGTCGAACGAGATGGTTTTGATACAGTGTTGCAAATAATCGGAGGTACAGTTTTTGTCTTAGCGCGATGGAGGCGTTTAGAAGTAGAGGTAGCCAAATCAATAGCTGGGTTGGTGTTATCGTTTATCAAAAAAGACATAGAGATGTATGAGTTGAATAAATAAACATTTGACGTTTGTAGAGAGAAAATTTGGATGGCCGACCCAATTTGTGTGCGATAAGTTCAAGAAAAGAGTAGATCAATCTTGTTGACCGCTGAACATCAAGTAATTGTAACGTGTGACAGTTTGGTTGTGTTAGAATAGAAACACACTGTTTTGCGAGAGTTATAAATTAAGGTAGATGATTAAAAAAATATGATATTTAAATTTTGTAGTTTGAGGAAAAGGCGTGTGATCAAGAGTTCCTCCTCGTTGGTTCTGTATATAAAAAAAAAATATATTAGTTAATTCAATTTTAAAAAAGTATATCTTTTGTCAACCTTTGCCATTTCTATTTTGTCAACATTAAAGGTACGAGTTGAAAATGGAGCTATGAAGATGAAGGTTTACTTCTTGTTTCGTAAAATCAGTAGTTGACCTTGAATTTTAGTAGTAAAAAGTACCTAATGATGGAATTGTTTAAAAAATTGTAATATTGAAGTAACAATGAGTATCATTTAATTTAAACATTTTAGTTGTTAAAATTTAAAGCAAAATCTTACTAAAAAGTAAAAACTGCTATTATGTGTTAACGTTTTTGTACTTGATGCTGGCAGTACTAGCCAACAGTGTGGTCTTTTTGGACTTATTAAGGCTTGTCCTCCTTAGCGATCCGCTAAATTACGCTATTAGGGTGAACCAATTTTGTATATGTTGCAGCAATATATTGCTATGATAAGATCGGTGTTAAATTCGCTTGCGTAGATAAACATTTAGATAATCATTATGCGTTAATAGTTATTCTTGTTTTGTTTTTTAGAAAGCCATAGATTTGGTAACTAAGGCGACCGAAGAGGACCGTAACAAAAATTACGAAGAGGCTTTAAAATTATACGAAAGCGGAATAGAGTATTTTTTACACACTTTAAAATGTAAAAATTAAAAATTACACACATGTATACTGGCCTCCTAAACAAAAATGCCGTAACTCGAAAAAAAAATTTTTTTTTTTAAAAACGATTAAATCAAGTAACAAACTATTTTACTTTGTTTAATCATCGGGTTTTTACAAAAAAAAAATGTGTTTTCCAATTACGGCATTTTTGCTTAGGAGATCAGTATAGTATCCATTAACCTAACCGACTTATTTTATTAATGTTTTAATAATCAGACGAAACCCAAGGAGACAAAGCTAAAGATAGCATACGCAGTCGTTGTACACAATACTTGGAAAGAGCGGAGAAATTAAAAGAATATTTAAAGAACGGAAAGAACAAAAAGAAACCCGTAAAAGCTGGAGAATCAAATTCTAAGTAACTAACAAACACATATTCAAAATGGTTTAACATTAAGACTTAATTTGATTATTTTTTTTAAAGAAACGATGACAAGAAAGAGGATAGCGATGAAGACGGCGATGATCCTGAAAAGAAGAAGCTGCAAAACAAATTAGAAGGCGCTATTGTTGTCGAAAAACCGTGTGTCAAATGGTCAGACATTGCCGGTTTAGAAGGAGCAAAAGAAGCTCTTAAGGAAGCTGTTATCCTTCCTATTAAATTCCCCCACCTTTTCACAGGCAAAAGAATTCCCTGGAAAGGAATACTATTGTTTGGGGTGAGTAGTTTTTGTTTAAACTTAGTAAAACCATCATGTCGGGCTTAAAAAAAAAATACTTTTCGTTAATTGTGTAGCCACCGGGAACTGGTAAATCGTATTTGGCCAAAGCAGTAGCGACTGAAGCCAATAATTCTACATTCTTCTCTGTCTCGTCATCAGATCTCGTATCAAAATGGTTGGGCGAGTCTGAAAAACTTGTCAGAAATCTTTTCGAGTTAGCGAGGCAACACAAGCCCAGCATTATTTTCATTGATGAAGTAGATTCCCTTTGTTCCTCACGCTCGGACAACGAATCTGAATCAGCTCGGCGCATCAAGACCGAATTTCTGGTCCAAATGCAAGGTACGTTTTTTTTTGTATTAACCCTTAAGCAGGTGTGTAGAGTCTGAATGTAGTCCAGTCACATTTTGTCATACTGTGATTTAGGTAAGAAATGTTGTATGCCAGTCACACGCCTGCTTATGGGTTAACTGTAAATAGATCATTTTTTACTCTACGAGAGATAAGAGCTACTATCCTGGAGAAGTGGATATGGTGCGGTGGTTTTCCGTTGCCTTTCGCGCCAGTCCAGGTGGCCATTTCTCTCTCTAGACGGTTGCCCGCCTAGCTAGAGAAACGGACAGCGACCGAGATAGATAGTGTGTAGAAACACTGCTGCCGTAACCCTCTCAGCCACAACATCGATAATATCGGATATCATTGTTCTATTTCAGGGGTCGGTACTGACAATGAGGGTATTCTCGTTTTGGGTGCCACAAACATTCCTTGGGTCCTTGACGCGGCCATACGCAGACGTTTCGAAAAGCGTATTTATATTCCCTTGCCGGAAGAACATGCTAGATTGGAGATGCTGAAACAAAATCTAGGAAACACTTATCACACGTTAACTGAAAAGGATCTAAAAGAGTTAGCAGCAAAAACCGAAGGGTATTTGCAGTCATCATATACATAAACAGTCGTATTCATATTTGTAATCGGCTAATCGTCGTCGTGTTTTTTTAGATATTCGGGAGCAGACATTAGTATAGTTGTGAGGGATGCTCTAATGCAACCTGTACGTAAAGTGCAAACGGCCACACATTTCAAAAAAGTTACTGGCCCTAGTCGAGCGGATCCTAATGTAATCGTCAATGACTTGTTAACGCCGTGTTCTCCAGGATCTCCCGGCGCTATCGAAATGTCGTTCATGGACGTTCCTAGTGACAAACTTCTTGAACCAGCGGTGTCCACGGTATGTCGTTAAATCTGGTTAAAATTGTACAAAATTATAACTAACGAGATGTTTGTTTCCAGAGTGATATGTCAAGATCACTAGCGACGTCTAAGCCAACTGTGAACGACGATGACATGAAAAAGCTAGACAAATTCACTTTAGATTTCGGCCAAGAAGGATAATTATTGTTTTTTTTTTTTTCAAATAACTATAAATTACATATTTTTGTCAGGTCAGTTAATTTTGTTTTTCAACAAAATTTTAATTAAATAATTTATACTCTCTGAAACGTCATTTGCGCTCGGATCGAGTAAAACTAAAAATAATCAAACGACAGCCAATAAACAGTTTGTAATTGTTTTAATGGAGAATGTTTAACTGTCATTATTTAATTTGTATGTTTTATTCTCTAGGTAAATTCCCAGAGTTATAAGGAATTAAAGTGAAGTTTACGTAAAAAAATGTGAAGCCCGAATGAACAGCCTATTTGTAATTTAAAAGGTAATATTATCAAAATAGTATCCATGTGTTTAATATAATTATATATATATATAAAAAAACTTTTTACATGAAATTGTTTATAATTATATAAAAATTAAAAAATATTTTTTAAACGCATATTATTATTCTTATACAGCTTAGATATTAGTATTAATAAATAATCGTACATTGTATTATTTACTATTTAATATTGTTTGATATTTATAAGAATCTTGATTTATTTTGCTAAAATGTTGCTGATAAACCATAATATTAATTTTATCTTACTCTATAAAGCCGATATAATAGCACATGTTAGAAAAATTCAAATTTATTTTTATAATATAATATATCCTATTATTAATAACTATAGTTATTATTTTAATATTAATGAAAAAGTTGTCTCAACATAAATATTTTATGAAAATTAAATTTAAAAGCACCATACATATATATATAAAAAAAAGAGTAAATCGTTACAAATCAACAAATATTTTTAATTTTGATATATACCAGTAAATTATACTTGTAACTTAGACTTCAAATATCTTAAAATAATGTCCTATGAAAATGCAGATAATTGTTGTCTTATGCTTAGTTTTAAAAATGTATTGTACTTGCAAGTTTTTGAAAACCACTTAAATTTTGTAAAAAAAAAAATCGTTCAAATGAAAATTAACAAACCCAAAATTTGTTACAGCTCTGAATTTTTACAATTCAATATTTCTGGTATGTTTTTATCAAATTTAAACAATGTTTTTTTTTTTTTTGAAAAAAAAATTCTGATAATGCACAATAGAATAATTTTTTTACAAATTATGAAAAATACTTTGACAGTGTTTTAATTAAAAGAACGATTATTTAATTTGTTCAAAATGAATTGTTGCTAAGTGTGTCACATACGAGTGTGTATGTACTCGTACATACAAGGCTAGTTGAGCGACAGCCATGGCTTAAACAAAAACTTGTTAACAATTAACAATCTTGTTCAGCCATTAGCAGTAATAACATGGACACTACCGTCACCAAGACCGATGGTTCCAAAAAATGTCGTTTATATATATATACTTTACTAGACAGTCACGATGTTTTTATCCTGAATTTTTCGTTACAGTTTAAATCTTATTTTTTGGCAAATAAAACTTTACAAAATATTAAACACAAACATTTTTCCTTATGGTTTTTTTTATTAAAGGAACTATTATTCAACCACACGATGGTATTTTTTAGTATACAATAATTTAACTTAAGTATCTTATGCCAAAATTTGATTAACTACATCGATATAAAGACAGATAACTTTTGCAATCGCAATACTTAATATATTTCAATAATTCGAAAAACATAAATATATATATATTTATATTGATAATAAAACACCCGTATTCGATTGCATGAAAAGTTTATATTTTTCAGACTAGTTTATGATTAAAATTAAATGACTAATTTGTATTTAGAAAAAAAATATACTCATTCATAGGCTCCTCGTAAAAATCAGTTGTGTATACTTACATATTATAAGGTCTTAACGATACTTGTGAACTGAAAACAGGTATTGTCGATTTCGTCTAATGTTTAATGACGACATTATAAAACTAATATCGATCATTAAAAGAGCGCAAAAAAAATTAGAACGATACATAAAGATTCAATTGTTATTTACATGGTATTGATGAGTATTTTTTTTTTTTTTTGTAATTGACAAAATCAGTTTATAAAAAGTGCTGTCCTACGGTTGAGGATGCCTTAAATAATCTATATTAAAATAGACAATGGTAATTGTTATGTCATCTCTAAACGACCTAACAATATTTTTTGGCAAATTCAGGAGTTGCGATAGTTTCGCGTGCTCCACTCCATATTCAGTACCTCCTAACGCGTTACGTATGAGATGCGTGCAAGCATTTGCATCGGCTGGTTTTTTTTTTAAACTTTCCTTTCGTTGCAAAAGCAAATTGTTAATGTCGTTTAATTTCATATTCGTTCTTGGTAACTTCAAGGGGGTCAAGGTAACTTTTCCACTCATGTGTTCACCGACCAATCGAACGACCTATGTTTGAAACAAAAACAGATTGTAAAGGTTTTATGGTAAAAATTTTAATAAATTGGCAACTACGATGAGAGTTACTTGTAACGGTGTCATAAAATCCCAAAGGCCGTCCGTCGCTATAACTAGAAATCTGTCTCTTGGTTGTAAATTGTGATAAGCTACTTGAGGTTTTGCTGTAAGATAAGGCGGCGTATAGTAGAATGGCGGAATTGCATTTTCTCCAAATTTAGGAACAATATGTTCGGTCAACATTTCTCTTGACCACTTGTATCTGAGAAAAATGTAACAAAAATTCTTCAGTTAATACTTTCATAAAAATAGATAAAGTTAAGTTAATTTTAACTTTGCTTGTTGTTTTTATGATTTTTTATAACCCAAAAACGGATTAAAATGCACAAAAAATACTTAACATGTTTTATGAAAAATATAAAATGGCCAAAAAAGAAAAATATGTTTAATAGATGTACATTTTAATTTTCCCTAATAAAATAGATTAAATATAAATGCAAAATAATTAAGTAGGCAAGAAATGCATGAAAAAAATTATTAATTTAAATACGTGCTTTAAAATGCATTTTGGTTTCAAATTCATGACAAGTTATAACTACTCCATTTTTAAGTATCACGATTAACACAATTCATTCTTGTGTGTAAAACTATTGAATTATTAAATAAGAACACGAAAAAAAAAAAATATATATATATATATACATTTATATATAAACATTTAAATACAGCTTTTTTTTTTTAATAAATTTAAAATGAAAACCTTAGATCTCCAAAAGCTCTTAAAGGTGCAAGTTGGGCGAGAAGCCGTTCATTTTTTATCACTGTATCCTTTTCGTTGGATGGATGTTCCGAGAGTATCCTGTTAAGTTCATTTAAGTTATCAGTGTTATGTTCCTCGACCAATACCTAATTTTAAAGACAATTAATTTTTATTATTACATAATTGTCGATTACAAAATTAAATTTCTGTTCAACATTTACTTTGGCTACCCATGTATCGTCGTCTGTGTGCACACCGATAACAGCTAAACAGTCTCCAGCCGATGCAATATGTAAATGTGGACCATCGATATGAGCGACACATGCAACTGCTCCAGACAACCCTACGTTTAATGTTAGATTGTTAATGTTCTCACTGTCCGTTTTTAATGTTGTCTCGGTCAATATGTCAGCGTCTAGTTGCAGAAAAGCTTTTTCCAAAGCATCTGCCATTTTAAACTGGTGTTCTTGCCGCTCGTTGATTAGCTTCAGCACGTACGCCTTAAGACTTTTAGTGTATACATTTTTAAGTTCGGCAACCAAGTCGTACGTTTCGTTTTGCATTTCAACCAATTGGTTACCAGATTCCATGTATTCGATAAGCAATGGCTTTGGTAAAAGACTAACACATATATATTCATACAGCCGTTTTGCTATCACGTGTGAACAACTCGGACCACCATGGCCGTCAAACACGCCAAATAACATTCCTAATTATTAAAAATAATAAATATATGAGCTAAATGATCACATATGGTAGTACCTTACTTAATATTTAAAATACTAAAAGAATTGAAGTGATGTTGACGTAAGTCATAATACAAATCAACAATGGATGGTGCAATTAACCTACATCGACATAATCTTATTGCCAGATAGACAAGACAAAATAGCATAATTGATGAACCAAAATAATAATAATATAAACAAGCAATTAGGATCTGAATGTTCAAGAACTTAGTGAAAACATAAAAATGTTACTAAAAATGATTATACTGCACAATTCGTCATTTTTTATTTAATTTAAAATTAAAAAATAAATTAAGTTCAGAAATTATTTAAATAAAAGTGAAATGATTGATTTTATTCAAAACTTAGTTACTAATGAAATATATTGTAACAACTAACATAATAATACCATATTAACTAACATCGAATAATGATTCAAATAATATATTATAAAATGAAAATTTTAAAAAAATTTCCCAGTTTGTAAAAGGAAATTGTAAGAATAAAACACTCTAGAAACTACAAAATTCAATCTTTGCGCATAAATGAAGATCAAACGTCTATTATACAAAAAAGTTAAAAAGCTCTAAACCGTATGATAATGAGAGTTATCGTCGGAGAATATATTGTGTGATGAAAGAATAAATAACTAATTCACGTAAATCTTAATACATTTAAAACATACCAACCCGATGTCAGTAAACATTTTGCTTCGGCACGAGTATCTTCGATTGGGACGTTAGACCCCAACTGATTTGTTTCATACGCTTTTATAGAACCATAACTTGGTTCAAATTCGTAAGTAAGCTCTTTAGAGCTGAGAATGGCGGTTACCTATTGATGAAATATTTAGCATTAGCAAACAGATTAAATCTAAAAATAGGCAACGTACCTCTTGTGGAGTTATTTTCTTGGCTACAGTAGACGTATGAATACACTTTGAATATATTGACGGTTTATACAAATGTTTAAAACCATACGAGCATAAGTTTAAACAATACAAATTAAACGACATACTGAATGTAATATTTTTGAAATTTAAAAAAAAATTATTAGTATTTTGATAACAATATTGTATCGGTAGAAATGGTAACCGATACTGTATGTATATCACGTTAACATAACCACGGTTTATTACTCTCACTCAAATAATATGACCGCGTCCGGTTTGATTGCTTCGCTTTGCTGATAAGCATTGGTATAAACTATAAAATTGATAACTGAAGCGGCGATCGCGTCGGCGTCAGACGTGAAGTATTATTATTTATTAGTTAGTATTTATGTTTTATTCTGACGAAAGCAATTAATGTATAATAAAATCGGCTCCTGGTAAGGTTAACAAACAGTAATTCTTATTTATAACTTAAATATATATAATTACTGGTATTTAGAAAAATACCTCTTTTCTTATTAATAACTAAAATTATGGTTCACGTTTCCAAGGGAACATTGATTACATGGTGAGTATAATATTTATTGTACATTATAAACTTTGCGTTCACTTAATGTTTATTCCAAATAATCTAGATCCGAAGGTATTCCGAATTGTTTGTCCATAGTACTGTCCTCGATAAAAAACTTTTTACGGCACCAAGATTTTACAGAATAAATATTATCCGTCCAACGATTACCTGCCTCTTTGGCGACCTTAGATATACATCATAAAGAACCCAATTGATTACTAAATAGTTTCTAATTATTATTTTGTGATAACTTACGCCAATGTTATTTTTCATTCTTTCAATTTCAGCAGGATCGGAATCTTTGAACTTTTTTATTTCTAATTCTAAGCTTAACTTTTCGTCTTGAAGAGCTTTCAACTTGTCCAATAAAACTTTTCTAGAATCTGAATCTTCTTTTCCAACCTTTTCTTTATTTATTATTTCCAAATTTCTATTTAATTTCTTTTGGTATTCTTCCAATTTTACTTTAGCATTGTTTAGTGTAGTCATTTTGGCAGATTTTGCCTTGCTACAGAAAAAAAAAAAAAAATGTATTATTAATTATGTGTATAAGAATGATGTTAAAAGGATGTTGTAACGATGGCTTTTGCCTGACATATTATTAGCAATAATAATAATATGAATGGCTGGTTGCTATCGTTACTTCCAAACCAAACCTATGAAGTCTAACATAGAGGAAAGAGAGTGATATGTCTCGCACCGGTGACAGCATTCGCATCCACCCACATACTAATTAGTTACATCTTGCCATCTACGCGCTACTATCTTGTTTAATAATTACCTAATTATTCGGCACCTTTTTATATTTTTTGTGCGTGTCACTCCGCCTGCTTTATCTCCGGATTATCACTGACCAGGTAACAGGTGTAAAACCTTTATAAATATATTTATACATATCTTTTTTTTAGTCATTTTAATAATTTAATCGATAACTTAATTCTTACTCGGCGTTCAGCCTTTTTAATAAATAATATTGTACGTTGCAATTTGAGAGTTTTATTCACTTAAAGGTACGACTGGCTCTTTTGCTCTTCGGGCTGTTGTATAAATTTATAAAGAGTCTCTAGGGATATTTTAGGGTAGATACGAGGTAGCTTCCTGTGCCGGTTAGGTCCCTTAATTTAGCTCTAGAAGGCTGACATTTGTGGGTGTGATCCACTTACCACACTGCACCATAACAACGTTATACACTCAATTTTCCAGCATTAAAACATATCAACTCAGAATGCATTTTGCTCGCTTCGTGATGACTATAGAACAAAAATACTTATTACAAAACAAAAGATGACAATATTTTGCAGACAGTCATATCTTTTTTTAAAAAACCTAATATTTAACATTTAAATCACATTTTTCTACTTTTTAAAATTAGCTATAACTTTTTCAAGTTATTTTTTTCAAAATCGGATATCATGTTGTCTCCAAAATGTTGTTATCATTCTGTTTCGTCATAGGTGTTTTTACTCTAAAACCACTATGGACCGAGTAAAACACATTCTGCGTAGCTATACTAAGATGAAAAAGAGTGTAAAATCACCGTCAAGGATATTGTGATAGTCCTAAAAATAAATTAACTACAAGTAAAAAGTCCTGATTACTGAACTAATATAATAACACATCATAGTTCAACCTTTAAATTATTGTTTTGCAAAAAATTGTCTATGTCTAACTCCTTAATAAATAGGGGGTACCACATCCTATTAAGAATAAAACGGTTAAAATTCAAATCATATAATTAATTCAATTTTGAAATGATGTTCAAGAAAAAATAATGTAAATTATATATTCATCAGTTCAGACATAATTTATTTGAGTAAATCATTTGTGTATGTAGTTTGAGTTTGATAAATTAATTTGTTATATTGTTTGTTAGGTTTGTGCGCATAATTCATTTTGAATAGTTTGATTAGGTGAAAAATAGTTCAATTTAGTTCTAAATTTTTTATTCAGATTGTCATAAAAGTATATGGGTTCAATTTTACCTTGGAAAAGCCCAGAAATAAACTGAACTGCCTATTTTGTCTGTGTCGACCAGGCCGTCATCGACTAAATTTTGAACTACTTCTTTTACAGACTGCAATACTATTTGCTTCTCTTTAGGAGCAATTTTTTCCAAATCCTAAACAAAGATATACATTAAACAAAATCGAAAATAATTTTGAAAACATTTAGCAGTTAATATATTCTACTTTAAGTTGAAAAAAATCTTTTTTCTCATGAAATAACTGCAGCATCCTTGTTCGTTTCTCCTCTGCGCTTACTGTTTTTCTCTTAGACATTGTTATATAAATGTCAAAACTGAAACAAATAATTAATTAAACTTATTTTTACCAATTTGGTTTTCAGTGACCAGTCTATGAAACAATTTTTGTTGCAATTGGACCAAACTAACGCTCTTGGAAAAAAATTTATATTACAAGAATTGGACGAAGAGCATTTATTTGTATCATCTGATGTATTAGAAACGTTGGAAGATCGCGTCGATGAACTCATGGATCAATTAACTTTTACACAAAACTAAATTCAATTCTTAGTTTTACACTATTTTTACAATATTATATAAAATGACTACGAAGATTAGTGTAGGGAGGGAATCGGGGAGAATAAAAGATGCAGACAAAAAAAAAGTTCTCGATGTGGCAGCCAGAAACCGACGAGCTCGCAAAGCACTGGAGAGCTTGGAAATGGATAACTATCAACAGGATCCACATGCTGACATTGTTCTGAATAAAAAAGCCCCAAAATTTTTAGATACCATTGAATCAAAAGGAAGACGCAAAAAGGAAAAAAGTGCAGAGTATTATAAACAAAAGTAATTATTAAGTTTAAACAAATAATTGTGTATACTTAAATAGAATATATTTGGCATCTAAGCAAAGCTATGAAGTACATAGTATTTTTTTGTACAATAAATACCACCACTACAATCTAAAACTATTCTTCTTAATAAATAGTTTAATATTTTGATTAACAATCGGGGCCCAAAACAAATGATTTAGAAAATATCCTAGAAATATCAAACATTTAATTTTATGTGAAAAAAAAATAACTAAAATCGCCTTTCTAAAGTAATTTTTATAAAATATAAATACTAATCGTATGTTATTAAAATATAATTTTGTTAATTACACTGAGTCCACAAAAACCGCAGTACTTATAAAGATTTTTGATTTATATGTAAATAAAAGCTATTGTTATTATTATTGTCAGTTCATAGAGTTTATACATTTTTTTTAGATTCCGAAGAACATTTACGCAATTGGTGGAAGACGATCAATTTAACAATCCAGATCCACCAAATTATGTTTCTATCGAAGCACCGCCTTCCTATTTACCCCGTCGGATATTTTGTGCTGTATGTGGATTTCCTAGTTCATATACCTGTACTACTTGCGGTGCAAAATATTGCTCTTTATCATGTTTAGGTACACACCAGTCTACACGTTGTCTTAAATGGACTGCCTAATATTATAAAAAAATTTAACATTTCTTCTATATTTTCACATTTTTACATTTTACATCATACTCAAGTCAAATAAACTGTATTATAAAACTAAATCTTATTGTGCAAAATAAAAAATTGCAATATTAATATAATTTACGTGTAACATTTTCAATAAAATACAAAACGAATTGAGGTCTATTGATTGTTTATTTAATGCCAATCTTAGTTTTATAAATCATAATAAATATTGATATAACTTCTTTCTGATATTATACATTGACAATTAAATAATTTAAGTGTTACAAGAAACAAATTGTATCATAAATGTAATTCAGGGGCGTATTTAGATATTTTGGGGAGGGGGCTGAGGCACTAACTCCTAATAAAATCTTGACAATATTAAACATCTACAATTCACATCATATAGGCCCATAGGCAGACTAAAAAAATTTCAAGGGGGGCTAGAGCCTCCTCAGTCACCTCCTAAAAATACGCCCTTGGTATAATTGTATTTTCCTTTATTAAACATTATTTAACATTGAAAGAGATAAGTACAAGAAAACGTTTAGTAAAAAAATTGTTTTAACAATATACTGATTATTTAATAAAGAAATAATTATTAAAATAATCATTCATTACGATAAGATTATAAATTATTGATGTTATTTAAATAATCTTGTGCTATTTTTATTTTAATGGTTGTAAGAAAAATACTATTGAGAAGACTAAAAATACAATAAATGACAAACGAGTGCTAAAATCCAAGCGCTTATTATGTTTAAGTATGGCATCGACAAATCAGGACACCAAATATGTTATTTACATAATATACAAATAAAACGTTTGTCAGAATTAGTAGTTATCAGCAAAACTATTGTTTTAGCCTAGCAAGGGAAAAATGTCTAATATTAATATGTATTACGATTCATTGGCAGACTTTATATTTTTTTTAATATAAATACTATAAAAAAATAAAACATAATATTTATTGGATTTTTTGTTTTTTACACTTTATTTTGCTTTACACGAGATGATGTCTTAACAATAACAGAACTCAACTAAAAATACATCACTTAAGTTTAAATTAAGCTTGTTGCACAGTTTGTACTAACATTTTAATGCTTTTAAATATCACATTTTCATTCATCTTATTAGTAATATCGTTAGTAGGATTTTTGATACTAGGTTCAGGTTTCTCTGGAACGACTTTGTTGTCCCCAGTGGATGGTTCTTTAGGTTTGGCTGATTCAGTATATGATTTAGAGTTTACTTTAGAGATTAGATCATCAACAAGATAATTGAGTCGCCTGATTTCTGCATTATGTTGTTCTGACATTAAATTTAAGTCCCGTAGAGTGTTATTTAGTTCTTCTAGATCTTGAAGGCGCACTTCTTCTTTCGCTTGTTCTTTACGATATTGTCTGCTATACTCTAATAGCAATAAAGCAGCAGCTACAAAGAATATGATGCCTTCGCCTAACAAATTAGATCCTAATTCAATGGCTTGTGATTCACTTAACGGAGTAACTTTTCCGGCCATTCCCAAGTTCATCACATACAACTTCATCTTAACTTCACACCAATTATAAAACTGAGCAGGCGGCATACAAACATATGTTCGAAAAACGGGCGATTGTTTAGCCCGTTCTTTAACAAAATTAGCAATGGGCTTACTGACTTGACGCAATAGTAATGCACCAAGTTTTGCAGCAGGAAATGCACCTAGTGCCACCATGTTTCAATAAAAACACTATGATATTAGTAATTATTTTTATTATCATTTAAAAACATGCCATTGAAAAACTTTTTAAAAGGTTATTAAAATATTCACAATATTATTTGACAATTCAATATTTAAAAAAAAAACATATTATCTTATAGATAAAGAAACTGTTATCTTCCATCAAGAATATGATGTTCGAAACATTAAGTAAAACCGTTAGAAACAAAACTCCATGGAAACGATGTTAGGAGCATGATATTACTTCTCGTAGTCTACAAGTTCTTATTTATTTATTATATACTTTTCTTTATGCACAAATTGTAGATGTTATTTTAATAAAAAATAAAAAAGAGCAAGACATATCATATAACTAACAAGGTACGTTCTTAGCTTATCAGCCGCAAAGTTTTGCTGATGGTCACTGGATGAAACGACAAAATTTGTTTTCTTCTCCAAGAAAAATTATTCACTTATCACGGTAATAACCAACCGGCTACCGATATTTTATGATAACAAAAACAGCTGTGACAACCAGCGCGAACTAGGACCAAAACTCGTATTTTTGTAATAAGCTAAGAACATACCTTGTTAGTTATATTATGGTTAAGAGCATAATAATCTATTTAGTAGCCAATATTTAAATTTCAATATTATATAGGGCACAGGCTATGGCAAGTGGCTAATGACAATTACAATATTTGGAAATTGGACATTATTACAATTGAATATATATACATGTTTGGTATGCTTCCAATTAATATGATTTAAGATTTTTATTTTAATAATAATTCAAAAAGTTCTTTATAGTTGTTCAAACAATAAATCATTTTATAAAGATCAATAATGCATTTCAAATATTGCCACATTCTTAAATTTCATAAACCAGTAATTTGTTTTACAAAATTTAATTAATCTTTATATTAGCACACATAGTTTCAAATATAATGAATATTATTAAATTATCAAACATTTTATTATTTTAAATGGTATAGTTTTTTACTTGACATTAAAAAAATCAAATAGCAATCAATAACGTATAAAACTTTTTCACTGGAACATATATCTAATCAAAATACTTTTAGGGCACTTAGTTTTAATTTACTGATATTATAAAAAAAAAAATCAAATCGGACAATCTATTACATACATTTAACATTTGACAAATAGGACTATTTATAACAACATTTTTTGACTGAAGTTCTCCAAAAAAAAATTATAATATGATGCCGAGTGTTCACACATTATTATCATTGCTGTTGTCAATATAATGAAATTTGTTTCGCTAAAATCTTTATTCCATTAAAAATAATTCGGCGGTGCAATTTTGAAAGCGTGTAGAATATTAATATTATTGGTAATGACTAATGATGCGACTATTTTGTATCAACTAGTGGTTGACTTACTGACTATAGTTTTTTTTTTTTAGCCAAAATAAATAAAATCGAGTTGTTTTCATTACTTTAGAATTTGAAACCAAAATTCAGTCGATAAATTGTAAATAATTTGAATAAAAACAGAAAGAAGAATAATGCGTAACTGCAATCAACAGCTATAAGATGAATAAAGACTACAACGAGGATAATATAAGATATATTTAAACAAATATGAAATAAAATAATAAATATACATGCAACAAAAACCTATTAAAGTAATACAATTAAATTTATATTATGGATAAGTAAAATAATAAATAACTCTAAAAACATGTATCTTATGTGTGTGTGTCAATATTGAAACAAATGAATCATACTACAGGTAAGATGGTTGATAATGAGAACAAAATAAATGTAAAATATAGAAGAAAGGTCATAATATAAAATGGCGGAGTTATGCTAAAAGGCATGAAGAAAACGTGGACCATATTACAAAAACAGCTATAAAATTTTTAATTAAAAAATAAATAAAATTCTTTTAACATAATTATTTGTTTATATAATATATCTATTAAATCATAAAATAATACACACCGAATCAGCCAAATCAAAATACTGATGTCTTATTATTTAAGAACACAACAATATAATTATGTATAATACTTAATAATATGAACACTAGAATATTCTGTATTTATAGTAACTGGTAATTATTAATGAAACTTGAAGTTCTTACTTGAATAATTTCAAAGTTGTATTCACCGCCAAATAATTTGTATTCAAGTTTTACTATTCGCTTGGCAAACTATTACAAACAAATAGGTATTATAGAAATTTGGAATTAAAGAATCATAATAAAATAAGAACGATGTTAACATTTCCCGCCAAAATGTATGTTAATCAGTTATGATAACATTACCGAATAATCTTAACACTTTCTGTGATAACACCTATCACACAGGCGCCGGTGTGAATCCTTCATGTACATAATATTTGAATTTGTGTTTGCTTACAGACATTACATCGAAGTACCAAATATGGTTCTAATAAGGTGGACCGTAATATTTTTAAGTATTTTTTGAATCGATAAAATGATAGTACAAATTTCCCATAAAGTATAGAACATCTATCGAATAACCAAAATATACTTATAAATTATAATTTATATGTCATTGATAATTGGTTATAACAACTATTGAATATGGCTTATCGAATAATACAATAATATAATAATATAATGTTATGAAGTCAGGAAAAATATGAAATGGAATGTGATAACATTATAACAGATGACGTCATGAAAACTAGAAGTCTAGTCTTGACCGTATGTAATCAATTTGATAACGCTGTAAAAAAGTTACGAGGAATCCACTTAAACTGGTAAAAAAAAACGATATTTGACTCGATATGAATGTTTAACGAACGGTAAGAATTATTGTTTTCTTCATTTTTATAAAAAAAATTAAATAATTTCAATATTAACATTTTTTTTCTGTTATAGCATATAATATATAACTTACCTATAGATAATAAAAATATAATTAATTGAAAATAAGTAATAATCTTTAAACCTTGGAATGATTACGCATAATGGCTTGTTTGGGATTTTGTTATAATTTATTTTATAATAATATGCTTAGATAAGACTTTACAACGGTAATGGGCGATCATACATTTCTCTCGTTTTAGTGGTTGTTTATATCATATATATGTATATGTTTTCTATTTCTATAGTTAATCTGTAGTTTAACAAGAGGTAAGAGTTAAGCTACAAATTACAAAGACTGTTTAAGCGTTGATGATTTTTATCAGTAACGTCTTATCACTAATAATATATATAATAATAATTGTAGTGTTGATGTATAGTGAAGTCAAAATGTACAAACTACAAACGTCACCTAACGTCTAAAGATAGTAATTTTCGTTTATTTTACTGAACTAGTTCACTAATCACTCGTTCTTCGTTTACCCTCACTAACTAGTTTAGTGAACAACATACAAACAGAGCTACTACAATTAAATTTGTGTACTTGCCACCTCCGTGCAATGTAAATGGCTTTTAAGTAAATTAAGAAAAATCGGAGAAACTTATAAGACTGTTAACATCTAAGACGTTATCTAAATCATAATGTATTCTAGAACGGAGAACCTTATAAAACATTTTTTTTTTTTATAAACTTGGGGATGTGATTCTTGTAAAGATTAAAAGAATCCACTTTATGTACCTATATTAAAGAAAGTATATTTAATTGTACGTATTATTTTATTTATTTATCTAATTCATTTTTTTCACGGAATAAAAAGGCAAATCGTTCAACGAACAATACTACTTATTTTTATTGAACTAGTTCGTATTGTTGTCCAAAGAGATTAATTCGAAAGGCCTAGTTCGTTCGTGTCGACACATATTTTCTATAGTAATGCCCAATGCTCAACAAGTAAATATAGTAATAATACAATATGTAACTGACCTGATAGTACGATACTATGCGATGATATTATGCTAGCGTATTCATAAATTAGCGACCACAAATTACTTTATATTTTTATATTACAGTCAAGTACATTACTATAAATCCTTTACGAAAATTACGAACACAATACCCAATAAAAAAAAAATTACTTAAATAATGTAAATGATATAACTAAATACTTATAACTCAATATAAAATTGTATTTATCTGAGTAACCAACAAAAAACAACACTTTTTGAAGACTACGTAGTCATCGCCCACTTGGTGTGTCCTGGGTAACGATAACAGACTGGGCTTAACTAGAGTTGTACCGAATTAATAAGTGATTTTGATTATAAATTAAGATATTAAATATTTTGGGACCCAACTCGTATACTCGATAAAATACGTCGGGACCAAATTCAAGGTTATCCTGTTGTTAAACTTTATTTAGCAAATGAACTTGGTGTATACTCGATATTTACACATACTGTGAGTGGGTTTAAGTTCACCAATCGACAATGTAAGATGGTCGTGAACTTTGATCAAAAAAATATTAAGGAACTCTAATAATTTTAAGTTTGAAAGAAGAAACTTGAGCAATTTTAGAGGTTTATGTTAAGCTCCCCTCACCATTCGTACTATTCTGATTATGGATTTAAACTAAATTAATTATAATTTCGAAAATAAGTACACATTTTAACTACACTATCGCTTAAGCTTAAAAAAAATTCATGAATTTTTGGTTAAAAAATTATATAAAATAATTACACAGAACAAAATACACAAATTGGTAAACACAACAATTTATGTCTAGATTATTTTTTTGTAATTTAGTGTACTAACATTATGTAAGTGCTCATTGTCAGTCTAACCTAAGGTATAACTTAATGTTAATACTTTATAACAATAAAAAAACATTTTTTTTTATTTTTTTAAACTATAACAAAGAAAATATTGTAATAAATTCAATTAAATATAAAACTAAAATTGTATTATTAAACTACTGAACGGATAAGATAATTAAGGTGATTAATTTCTGCATCATGTTGTTCAGATCTTAAGCTTAAGTCACGTAGATTATTATTTAGTGCTATTAGTTTTTGAAGACTAACTTCTTCTTTTGTTTGTTCATTGCGTGCTTGTCTTCTGTACTCGATTAGCAATGAAGTGGCGGCTACAAAGAATACAATGCCTTCGCCTAACGAATTAGATCCTAATTCAATGGCTCTTGTCTCGCTCAGCTGAGAGATTTTTCCGACCATTCCCATGTCCATCGCATACAACTTCATCCTGATCTCGCACCAATTGTAAAACTGAGCAGGTGGCATACAAATGTATGTTCGAAAACCCGGCGAGTATTTGGCCCGTTTTTTAACGAATCTAGCGATTGGTTTACTGATTTGACACAAAAGTATTCCACCGAGTTTCACTATGGGAAATAAACCTAGTACCATTATGTTATAATAAAAACACTATTTAATTACTAATTATGTTTATTTATATAATCATTTAAAAACATGTCATTGAAAAACTTTTAAAAGGTTATTAAAATAATCACAATACTGTTTCACTCATTGGTATGTAGGTATTCAGTATCTACATAATAGGCAATAGTCTATTCCTTTTTTTTTTTTTTTAGTAACAATAATAATAAATCGTAATAAAGTAATCATTATACGGATATTATAACTACTACAAACCTAATGTATTTAATCAGTATCGATACATGTAAAACTTAAAAACATGTATAATATAATATTATTGTATTGTACTCTTATCTTATCTATTGGCACTTTGCTCAGAGTTTTTTTGATGCTCGTGAACCCATCTCTCGCTACCTTTTTATTTTTCATAAGTAGGTACTGACGTTACGTGAATACATCTCATTAGTTACTACTATTCACATGTTTATTTATGTTTAGGACAAAATATTATGCTTATAGAAATAGGTTAAAATTTAAAATTTTCGCAGTAATCTCAACAGGATCTGACACCAAAAAAAAAATTAAACTATTGTTTTGTAAAAATGCTGAGCAGAATCAAAGCACTGGAACGTTATGACGTGTTCCGCCACTGTTTGTGTTTTTCACAATTTTCCAATGCTCCGAGTGGAACGGTTTTCAACTCTAACGTCGATGTTAACTCGAAGGAGTATCAGGTTAGTACTTAATCGTATATTGGTCAAGTAATGTTAAATATATACCGTTATTGTACATCCTGGTGATATTAGGGTAACATTGAACACTCTAAGACACATGTGGTTGGAACAAATTATTAATGATGAAACTCTTATATGCGTTATGTTAAAACAACACTTGGTTATGTGGTGATTAGGAAAACAAAACGGCAATGGAAATATTGGTGCACGACTTAAAGAAAACGGTCAACGCGGTGGTTTGTGGAGGTGACGCCAAAGACAAGTCGAGGCACACGTCCAAAGGAAAAATGATGGTCCGCGATCGCATAGACTACCTTTTGGATTCGGGTTCGCCTTTTTTGGAATTGTCCCAATTAGCGGGATATAATCTGTACGACGAGCATTTGCCATGTGGTGGTCTGGTCTCTGGAATTGGACGTATATCCGGGTAGGTTAAGTTAATATGTTATCTTAATAGCCGGATAGCGAAAATAAAGGCAAACATAATGCGTGTCGTAATAATAGTAATTATTAGTATAATAGAATTATTCCGTACTCAATAGCCAAATCATGACAAGTACAAAAAACAAATAAATAAATCGTTTTCAGATTTTTATATAACCACTAGGCCTATTTCTCGTCTCACTTCTAATCCTCCACTTCTTTCTATTAGATACTTCTACCTTCCAATCTAAATCTACGGCTCCCAAATCCTTTTTTACCTCGCTTCCTACCTCATTCGAAGTCTTTCAAGAAATATATTTCTAAGGAGTTTTAAATGTTTTTTCGTTGATACGTTCGTCTGATTTCTAGACCGATGATGTGTATTAAAAATAGATCCAGAAGAGAGAGAGAGACTGCATTATGTAATTATGTCACTGGTGAACTTAATAAGCTTTTTTTGTTCTGACAATAAATTTGCCTTAACGCGTTTCTATGTCAACAGCAAGGAATGCATGATAATCGCCAACGATGCAACGGTCAAAGGCGGAACATATTTTCCCATCACAGTAAAAAAACATCTGAGAGCACAAGAAATAGCCAGCGAGAACCACTTACCGTGCGTGTACTTGGTAGATTCCGGGGGCGGTTATTTGAAAAAACAGTCTGAAATCTTCCCCGACAGAGAGGATTTTGGAAGGATATTTTACAACGAAGCTATTATGTCTTCAAAAAATATCACTCAGGTCAGACGCACGAAGAGTACATGAGATACTTTTCTTATATATACTTAAAGCATGCAATATTTTTTAACATATTGATGGCATACGACATAGGTGTAAATAACTGTATAATTCATATTTTTATTAATAGCACAATATTTCCACGGGATTTTTCTGTGTAGACACCGTGCATGTATTTAAATAAAAAAGACACAAACAAGTGTAACGTTTGATTAAAATTATTAAAACGTATCATTAAAACATTAAACAATTTATTTGGCGGGGAAATGTGCCCATTATGTACCAATAAACGGGTAGCAGATCATGTCCTGCCCTAGTACTACTTAACTTGGACCATTCGACATTGGTGTGATGTAATTATATTGAATTCCCGAAAGATACTTAGGAACTAAATTCGATACTTCCGAGTTCTTTACCGATGGTTCCTGTGGTGAATCCCCGCTGTTGCAACTCTGTGCAGAATGCTATTATAGGGTCCTGTTAATTTTTTTCTTTTAATACACCATGAACCCTGTGTCCTGTTGGGATGTCATGGATGTAAATAATTTATATCGACATTACAGATCGCTGTAGTAATGGGTAGCTGCACTGCAGGAGCTGCTTATTTGCCAGCCATGGCAGACGAGAGTGTGATAGTAAAGAAGACCGGAACGATATTTCTAGCCGGTCCACCTCTGGTAAAAGCAGCAACCGGTGAAGTTGTGAGTGCAGAAGAACTGGGTGGTGCCAAACTCCATTGCTCGTAAGAATATGTAGTTCTATATTGTTTAATGATACAATTTTGCAATTAACACCTTCAAATATTTGTCGCGTTATTGTATTGAAATCAGTATTTAGCGTCATTATATTTGGAGAGAGTAGTTTATATCCTAAAACACATTGACCAGTACATCGATTATTTGGGTTTAATGGCTTTATTTTTTATCATCCGTTAAATTTCCATCAAAGAGTTTCCGGAGTTGCTGACCATTACGCCAACGACGATTACCATGCTTTGCACATCACCAAAAATATCATTGCGAACTTAAACAGCAATAACAAGGCGGAAACCGGAATAAACGATTTAAATTTACCAGAACCTCCAGTTTACCCGGACGAAGAACTTTATGGAATCGTGGGCGGGAATTTAAAGAAAAACTATGACGTCAGAGAGGTTATAATAGTTGTGATTCATTGATGAGTTATGCGTACGATTTTTTTAACTTAGACCAACGCTTTACTCAAATAACTGTTTAGGTCATTGCGAGAATTGTGGACGGCTCAGTGTTTTCAGAATTCAAAAAGTCCTATGGTGAAACTCTGGTAACCGGGTTTGCCAATATCTGTGGTTATCCCGTTGGCATTATTGGCAACAACGGTGTATTGTTTTCCGAATCCGCACTTAAGGTAACTATGGATGTTTATTTTTAACCTGGAGTTTATGAAACCCAAAAGGGTATAAGTGAATTTTATGAATTTTCACAGGCGAGCGAAATTAATGTATTTTATCACAACATTTTTTTATGTGTTCTTGTGGATTATTTTCATTAGTTTAATTGCAAATCTCCATCAAAAATGAATGAACAAACACAGATAGAACTAGGTTTCTTAACAAAGTATATAATAAATATATTTTTTAAAAATACTCTCGCTTGAACCTATTTGGATCAATAAACTGCAGGAGTCATTCTGCGTGAAACCGACCCAACAATTTTTACCTATGTTTTCTTAAACTTTGCCTATTTATTATAACACTAAAAATATAGTTGCCCAATTTTTGGTCTCTAAGTATACATAATTTATTATTTGACATAATTGACGAATTAAGTAAAACTATCTTCTCATTTTCAGTGATTGAGGTATAGGTAAAATTGTTTTTAATAGAAAACTTAAGATAATATTGTTAATTGGTGTACAATATAAGACAGTTAATTTTGTTTTCTTCTTTAATTAAACTCATAAAACTTTTTCCTACCTCATAAAATTGCATAAGCAGTCACTTCATTTTGAGACTATTAATACCTAGTTTATTATTATAAATAATATACTATTTTACCAATTAATGAAAAAACAAAATAATTTTTATTTTAAAATAAATATTTTCATTTGTTTATGCCTAAAGTATTTTCGCCCCAACATTTTGATGATTTTATTTTAGAAATTTACGGTGATAAGAAAAATATGAATTTATAGCTTTAATAAAATTGATAAATTAAAAGAGACGAAAAAAAATTATATTGATTTCAATTTTCAAAAGCAATAGTATACTATAGATAATATAAAATTTAATTTTGTATTTTTAGGGCGCACATTTCATTGAACTTTGTTGTCAACGAAAAATCCCACTTCTATTTTTGCAAAACATTACCGGTACGTTTCACCTTTGTATATCTATATTCTATCATTATGCAGCGTTTCTTATTTTGTGATCTAATTATGATACTTTTAAAACCTTCTAGTCAGTAGTTTTTGTATTTTTAAACAGGATTTATGGTGGGCAAAGACGCCGAGGCTGGCGGTATCGCGAAAAATGGCGCTAAAATGGTTACCGCTGTATCTTGCGCTGCAGTTCCTAAAATTACTGTGATCATTGGCGGTTCTTATGGAGCCGGAAATTATGGAATGTGCGGTCGTGCATACGGGTAGATAATATATAAAATAATATACATTTGTTTTATTACAGCAGTAGTTATACTGAAACACAACGAAGTAGTAACAGATAGAAACAATAATTATATACACGGTTATCTATCTAACGAGACAGATAAGTAGCAGAGCTGGGCAAAAATTAAAAAAAAAAAAATCTATAAATAATAAATATTTTTTTTTATTCGCCAATACAATAATTATTTGTAACCAAATAAAAAAAAATAATTCGTTTATTTATTATTTTTAGATGCAAAATTATCTTGATAAATTTTAAATAAATGTCTATTGTCATAAATAAATACAATTATTTTTTTGTTTATTTTTCACACTTTTTTTATCCAATAAATAATAAGTTAAAAAAAAACAATTTGGAAATGCATAATAAATAAATTGTGTTATGAATAAGAATTAATAAATAATTTCGTCGTCAACAATCAAATAATAAATGATTATGAAAAGATAATTTTTTAATTATCACTTCATCTAGATTAAAAATAATTCTATTAATGCTTTACTCTGATTATTAGTAGTCGGTGAAATATTTTTAATCGTTGAAACTTCGTTAGGTAATTTAAGTTTTTAAATGCGTAATATTTAAATTTTGTATTGCATCCGCTATTAGACAAAATTATCATAGCGTGTGTAAATTTTACGTGATTTCAGACCAAGATTTCTGTATATGTGGCCTAATTCCCGAATAAGTATAATGGGAGGCGAACAAGCAGCCGGTGTATTATCTCAAATTCAAAACGATAAAAGAGAACGAGAAGGAAAACAGGTAAGAATCGTACAGATTTATCTTATACTTTTGATTAATATATTATAAAATCACTGAGTAAATTTAAGATGTTAGATAAGATACACAGGGTTTATCAAAAAGAATGGCGGGGTTTCAAACGGCTGTAGGTTGTGAAGCAGTGGCGCAACCAAGAGGTGGGGAGGGTCCTCGGGTCCAAACTCCCCCCTCGAGTATTTCTAAAGTGGAAAATTGGGTAAGGTCATTTTAGTTATTGTCTAATTATATTTTACAGTAAACAATATTTATTCATTTTGGCAATATAATAATTTTGTTTTGGCCTGCTTTGCGGCAGATAACAAATCGTTATCACATATTGTCATTTTCTCATATTACACGTGGACCTTATACCTAAAAACCGTACTTTGGACCCCCCCCCCCCCCCCAAGGGATATTAATGGTTGCGCTACTGTTGTGAAGTATTGGACCTACAGCGCTCTGGTAGGGCTTGAATGAAAGAGGGAGTTGTAAAGATTCGAATGATTGTATCGAATAATTGTATATTATTGAGAGTTGAGGAAATTTGTAATCAACTAAAAATCTGATGATTAAAAAAACCCATTCATGATTAATGCTTTGAAAAAAAACTGGTGGCCAATGATTATATAGTTGGTAACTAATTTAAATTGTAATATTGTTAAACGATTAAATATTTGATTACTTATTTGGTTAAAACTTAAGTCTCAAAAAGTGTTTTAACTAATAGTTACATTCATGAACTATAATATTCAAATAAAATTAATATCTTGTACAAATTATTGATAATTACAACGTGCAGTATTTTTATTGCAACACTAAAAGGTTCAATTTTTATTGGAAAATATGTTGTTTAAAATATAAGTAATTATGTATATAATAAATAATATGTAGGTCTAAGCTTATTCAAATAATCAATCTCTAAAATTTCACATGCTCTATGTACTTCCTCATGTATGTTTTTTTATCTAATTTACATGGGACTTTAATTTTTAATTAAAACATTTTACATTAAAAATCTCAAATTGAAAAAAGATTCTCAAAGCTAACATATGACTTCAAATTCAAAATCTCTCTTTTGACATTTCATAATAAAATTGTTATCAAGTTACAGCCCATTAAAGGCATAACTAACGGGCAGTAAAGCCATCGTTACAACTTGATAACTTGTTAAAACAAATTTTTATCGCGAAATATTAAAAGAAAAATGTTGAAGTGTCATATTTTAGTTTTAAATAATTTTTTTTTTCAAATTCAAAAAATTTCTATTAGTTTTTAAGTTTTTTAATGGAAAAAAATATGTTTAGTGTTCATCAAATCAAAAAAAAAAAACAATTTAAATTTTGGAGGTTTCGTATTTGAACAGGCTGCTATGAGTGCTATTAGTGCTACGGTAGGCCGTGGGGATAACAAAATAAAAATGAAAACAAAACAGTAATAAACATTTTGTGGAAAAACAAATAAAATGTTTTAGTTATCAATTGAAGAAGAGAATGCAATAAAAGATCCGGTGATCAAACAATTCGAAAACGAAGGAAACCCTTATTATTCCAGCGCCAGGTAGGTGCCAGCGATTCGATGTGGATGCTTGATTCCATATTATTATGTGGCATTTTCTTTGTTATGTTTTAGATGTTGGGACGATGGCATTATAGATCCTGCTCAGACCAGACAGATTTTGGCTTTGAGCTTGTCGGCCATCCGCAATTCGCCAACGCAAGAAACCAAATACGGAATTTTTAGGATGTAGTGCCGATTTTAAATTGAACAAGAACTATTATGTACGATACTGCTAATCCCAGATACTAAAAAACAAACACTTAATCTTATGATAATTTTTTTTTCTAAAGCCAACGGTAATTAAAAAAATATATATGTATATATATCACTCACGTTCATTATACAAGCTCGGTCGAGAATGAAATATCCCGCCAACGTGATTTCAGGTTGATTACTTTGTATAGTTTTGAGCAATGTAAAAATCTAACAATACAAATTGTATTTTCATAATAATAATAATAATAATAGTATTGATTTAAATTGTCGTAATTTTAAGTACAGACGCCAACTGTATAATAGGAATCTATCAAATGTTTTCCAGCCGTTCGTTTACTTATCCCATATCGGGTGTATTAATTATTCCTCCGACCCCCTCCATAGGTCTTGAAACCATACAAACTAGGTTTTTTTAATAATAAAAATTGTTTTACCAATTTACAATTTCTGATTGTGGAAAACAACTAGGCACTTGTCGTGTAATGTAAAAATAAGTAATTCATCGCCACGTCTGTATCATGTCAAATTACAAAGTTTTCAAAATCTAAATAAAAATAAATACATTTTGTACGGAAAATGTATATTATTTTTATAAATAAAAATGTAAAGAATTCAAAACTGTGAAAAAATAAAACACACAATTGTTGTTCACAAAAAGATTAGTTTTAAAACCGAACTTTAAAGCTTGAAACAGTTATAGAACTTTTTCAAAGACTACCGTTTTATGGTAAATTGAATGTAGGTGCAAGTTTCAATTATAAAAGCTATAGAAATTCAAAAACAGTTAGCAATCAAATAACAGTTAAAACAAAAGTTAATAAAAATACAAGTTTTATATTATAAGAGTTGAAAGTGTAACTTTACTTTTTTTTAACTAAAGGTTAACTGTTAAAAATACTAATCTGCTTAAAACACTAAAAATAGTATGCCTACGTAAAAAAAAATGTATATTTGAATTTTAGAAAAAACATAAAAACGACAACTTTAACCTTCTTGTTTTATTAATAACACTCAATTGTTATGAATGTACGGATATGTTTCGTGAACCTACTTGCTCTTGCGTTTCTATTGTAAACTTGGCGCAGGCTAAACAATGTATCGATTCAACGGTCTTGACTCCCACCTGCGTGGTGTTGGGTTAGGTTAAAAAACTGTAAAACCGTAACTATACAAACACAATAACATACATGCGGCCTGTACCTGAGTGGTGACCGAATAAGCAGCTTGGCAGAGAGCTACTAAATTCAATATGGACCACACGGCCGTGGGGATGTACACGTAGTCGGCGGAATTCCGCTGTTCGTCTATGCACAACACAATAATGCCATACAGGGATTGGACAATGACTATGGACAGTATGAAGAAGTTGAACTCGTGCAGTCCGTTGCCTATCCAAGTGATCTGGCCGGTCATGCTGGACAAATGTTGCCACAATTCGGTAAAACGCATTAGCCGTGTCCCAGCGGCCAAGCTGCAGTTCTCCTGGTCCGACATCATGACCTCGGTAATACAAACATAATCTATAGCAGTTGCTTTTACAAATGCGTACCGTTAAAGTTTATACTGAACATTAAACAATGAGCGTTTCAAAACGTCCTTTGTACAGTGGTGGGCATTGTTGAATTAGAAAATTAAAAGCAGTGGTTGAAAAATTGCAAAACCTCCTAACTTCTAAACTCCTTCAGGTTTATAAAAAAAAAAAAAATGTCTGCAACAATCGGACGCCGCTGCCGAGTAACGTTTTTTAAAAACTATTTATTATGGGGTTCGGTTACAAAGAGTGTTGAAAGTGTTACAAACATTTTACGCAAAATCTAATTTTTCATTATTTAACTATACATAAAGTAAAGTTTAGTACATTAGGTCAACAGGATTGTTCATAAATGATAATCGGGTAATTTTTTTCTTAAATATCATATTTTAACAGTTTTACAAATAGTCAAACATAAAGTTAATTGATTGGAAAGTAGCACCCCGTAGAAAAACTTATCATTATTCACATTAGGACTGTGAGTGAGTGTTTTTCCAACCAAATGGTATTCGTAGGTGGGTGACATACAGGGGAAATTTGTTTTGTCAAATTTATTTCATGGAACAAGAAATTTGTTTCCTTAGTTAAAAACGCGCTTTATTTAAATAGAGCAACACATACTGGTGATTTCGAAACGTTATCTCAAATTTATTTTACAAACAAGTTTCATGAAATAAAATATGTTTTGTTATTATTTCATCATTTTACAATAAACTGCGCAGCTTACAACGAATTAAAGCTATGTATAATTATGTATAATTTCAAAATAATGTATTGCATTATTTTGTATTTTAATACAATATAATATATACTCTATTAATTTAAAATGAAAATGTTACCTATTAGAATTAATTGTTTAATATCGTAATATTGTTATTAAATACAATATATACCTATGTTATTAGAAGAGGTCCCTATTAAGTTAATTAGACTAGTAAGATCATGTATACAGAACTCAAAATACAAAATTAAGTTCAATGGCCATAAATCAAAAGAATTCGATGTTAAAACGGGATTTAGACAGGAAGACGCGCTAGCTCCTATGCTTTTTAACTTTGTATTGGAATCGGTGGTTAGAGGACTGTCTGATACTGACGTAGGGATTCGACTACAAAATGAAAAGATTAATTTAATAGCATATAGGATATAGTGTTAATTGGCAAGACAGAGAAGGATATTTTAAGGAGGGGCCGGGCAAAGCTGAGTACGGCCCTGATTTATTATTACTATATCATGTATTGTTATTATTTAGTATCATATCAAATTTTTAGAAAAAACATGAATTTTTTATTTAACTTGTTTCTTCGATTTATCTACCACATGGCACATAACAATAATGTCATCGTCAGACGGTATATTTATTACTAAAATGAGCTGTATGTGCTATTAAGTAGGTAGGCCAAAATATTTATGAAACAAATTCGTACTGTGTGTATTGACTATGAAATATGTTTCATGTGATTAATTCGATTAAACAAATTTCTTGGTTGAGTCGCTAAAATAAAGCCAAGTACCGTTTACGCTACATTTTACTGACTTTGAATCGGTTAAAAAAATGTACCTATATTTTTAAATGTTTACCAGAAACCGTTCGATGAGACGCTCTGAAGCTTTGGTCAAAAGATGACAGTCGACCATCCACAGTATGGTACTGAAGTTTGTGTAGAAGTATAACAGCAGATAAAAGAATACGTAGGACGGATACTTCTGTGAAGTCAACGCCACGTTTGCGGCCACTTCAAGTACAGTCACGGCAAGTCCGATCAACGTCAAAACCGTAATGGTCGTTGTAGAACTTAACGTTAACTCCGTTCCGGTGTATTTCTCGAACTGCGACTGAAAAACCGCCGTCAAGTAAACATCTTTTGAAATTTTAGTAATACTTACCTATACCTAATAGTATAACTGCAGTTTTTTTAGTATGCCAAAATGATAAAATGTTTCAAAAGTTATATGTAAAAAAAAAATGAAATTCTGCTTTTATACGGTTCGATAAATAGTCGTTTGGTTTGAGTATGCTCAAAGAACTGCAGTTAACCTAATACCTAACCCGCCAACAGCTATTTTTAATTAAAATATGCCATTGGGAGATATAACCGCCCATCACTTCTGTCGAGTGCCTGTTATTATCTAAAAACTGACAATTCATATTATTACAATGTATAATGATGAAGCCCTTTAACTTGAAATATCATAAACTAAATGTTTTGATCAAAACTAAATCATGTATTTCAAATATAATTATTAAATTTGTATTTTTGATATACTAAAATTTAGTTAGGTTCTTACTTATTTACTGAAATATTTTACAAATAACTTAACTTTAAAAAAAAAAATTAAATTTATTAATTTTTATCGTTTTTACAACAAAATAACATATTTTGTATACATTTTAATTTTTTTTAAACTAATAACTACATTTTCAGCTAGGCAAATTCTGATTTCTCTCTGGATTTCACCAACGTATTTTGAAAAAAAATGTTTAATAACTAATAAGTCTATTTTGTTTTGCACATGTTATGTGGTGTTCTACTGTTGTAAGTAGATATAACTCAAAAACTAAACTAGACCAGACAAATCTGAAAAACAGCGTATTTAGCATGAAAAAATATATTTGTTTAAAAAGATTCCTCGGACCGTTAACTGAATGTAAGATGCTAGTATAAGAAATAATTTATGGTAAACAAAATGAAATGGTTTATTTTCAATAAGATGAATATTTAGATATTTTTTTAATTTACTTTGAAAAAATAAAATACATCATATATTTCAAGTAGATACATTATGTATTTTTAAATATTTTAATTGTTGCTAATATTACCTATTACGAATTCGATTTGCATAAAATTATTATTTACTAGTATTATCTAATAAAACAAGTATATAATATACATATTGTAATATAAGTACTATACTACAACGCCTATCATATATTACATAGGAACTACTAAAATAATAAGAGAGGAGGGCAGGTTAAATTTTAAATTGGGAATGGGGCTTGTACACCTACCAAGCCTGATATGCTCTGATCGTAAATGTACCTGATATTCTCGCCATTGTTCAGCGTACATGCCTCGGTTTCTGCTGGATTTGTATGCCCCAAAAGGATTATACAACACAATGGCAATGCACAGAACAGTTATCAGAGCATAATTAATGTTGTCGATGTTCAGACTGCTCGTGTAAGGTTCCAGTATTTTTTTGCGGCAAATCAAATCGTAAAGAGCGCACACCGACAAAATGTACACCAACAGCGTGTAAACTCGTCCAACGATCAGTTGACGGCCAGAAGTAGACGAGGAGACTTCAGCTAACCAGGAAAAAAAATAATACAAAAATGTATATTTTATGATAATAATTATAAAATACATTTTCAAAAAAAAATCCCATTCGACCGTACTCGGCAGACGCGTACGAATACAAACTATTCTGAGTACATAATTCAACTTGATGGTTTGTTCCAAATAACCGCTGTTAGACATTTTTGAATTTCACTGCGCGTTTGTATTTCGTAATAAACGCAATAAAGTTATTCTGTTATATTTTTCATAATTTCCGTTTTGAAAAATTAAACAGTTTTTTTACATACGTTTTAAAGTAAAAAAATACTGCGACTAAACCTCATACACTAATATGTATCGTGAAACGTAGTGTAGTTATATTATATAGGTAATTTAATATATTGTTTCGCGCGGTTAATGGAAATCAATGTATTATAATTGCGTGCCGGATTAAACGATTTGGATAGACCGTGTTATTATAGATTTGAAGATAATACTAATAAATAATTTGTTTTATGCAATTAAATAATATAGTATTATAATTGGTGTTAAACATTACATGGAATAATTGTCAGCAGGTATTCCAATTAAAATGTTTCAAAATATGTACATATGTTTGAAATAGGTCTACACCCATGCCTGTTTGTCTATATTTTAATTGTATTAAAACCCCAACTATAATAATTGGTATACTACATACAAAAACAGTTTTGTAGTACATTTTTTGTTTTACCTAAAAGAAATTCAAATGATATTATACATTTCATGACGATCAAATTAATTTAATTTGTATTATATAGATCTTATAACTCATTAAACACAACTGGGCTGTATAGTGCTTTACCAGCTTTGTCTATCACATTAATTTTACGTTGTAGAATTTTGATTGTTTTTTAATTTAAAAAAGGTATTAAAGTAGACACATGAAGGAATATATTAAATTATAATAATATTCTAAAATAAACAAAACACAAATATCATTCACGCTAATATGAAATGTTAAATGTATAGCATACACAATTTCCTAATAAAACACACGTACATGTTAATCATTATGTAACATTTTTTTTTTTTGTTTCATTATATTTTATAACACAATATGCTAACAGTTTATAATTAAAAGCTTTCATACTTCACCCGAATTGTTAAAAAAACAGATAAAACATTTAAAACAAACATAAACAATATCTAACCACAATGACATAAAGTATGAATGTGTTTTTAATATATTCATAAGAAGTTCTTTAATAAAAAAAATGTGTAAATATGAAATTTTACTGCAAAAATAACTTTCATAAGAGGTTTTTATTTCAATAATTCATATACCTATTTTTAAGTTATCTTCCGTCAAATTATCTATCTGTAATGTAAATTGATAATTTAATATCAATAATATAGTATTGTTTTTATGTACCAAACATAACAAAAATCTGGTTAGCAAAAAAAACATTTTTTTTTTTGCAGTAAAAAGCCGTTGAGTGCAGTTTTGTGTGGTACCTATCTTAGTAAATATACTGTACCACTGCTTTCCTCCTCATGTGTTGTCTCAACACAGATTTCTTCTCAAACTCCATCTGGCAAATATGAACCAAATCTAAGAACTTGTAGGCATGCGTAGCGACTAGCGAGACGTTGTCACTTTCAAAAAATAATACTAACGACCAACAAAATACAATGTTGCAATTATATTTTATAAATATAGTGTTTGTTGAAATAAAAGATAAAAAACATTTTATATTATACAAATAATATTACTAAATGATAACACACATAAAACAATGAATAATAACAATATTAAAACAAGTTTAATATAAATAATACATGTAAAAAATTCCCTAAAAAAATCAGCAATGAAAAATAAACTCCGTGCAACAATTTCTTTTTATGTTGACATACTATTATCTAATACTAGTTTGCAATATCGATCACAAATCACATTTGAGGGGCTCAGATGCCAAACCGATTAACTCCACTTTTTTCAAATTTCGAATAATAGCATGGGTGGATTAAAAAAGTGTATAATTTTCAGCGGCCAAGATAAATAACTCCATAGTTGAATCTTTCACCACTAGAGTGTGCTAAGAAAATTGGCAATTGTACTTACATACTTTTTTTCAAATAACTATAACTGCCTGTCCTGGAAAATTTCATTTTATGGAGTTAATTGGTATAGCATCTGAGCGCCTCAATTATTAGTCTTCGTCACTCTGCTCGTGTTTTTATCGTGTTAACACATGTAACATTTATAGGTTTATATTCAACATTAATATCACGAGGTGGATAAAAAATATTTGATTAAAATAAAACAATATTAATTAAAATTTTAGCAGTAGCATTTGTTATATTAAATTACAGGTAGCTCATTTAACACTTTAAATTTATAAACTAATTAATCAAATATTTCTCGATTAATATACATTTTTTTTCTGAGATTTTCATGATGGCTTTTACCCAGGGTTTGGTGTTTTGTAAAATGTTATACAATTACTTAAGAAACACTTTTTACCTTTTTAGGGGTTTTCACCAGCGTGCACGCGTCCGTGTACTGTAAGGGTGCATTTTCTGGCAAATGACTTTGAGCATACAATACATGTATAAGGCTTTTCGCCAGTGTGCACGCGCTTATGTTTTGTAAGAGTAGACTTATCAGAAAATGATTGTGAGCATACCAAACATTTATAAGGCTTTTCGCCAGTGTGCACGCGTTTGTGTAGTGTAAAAGAGGATATACTAGAAAATGACTTAAGACACACGTTACATTTGTAGGGCTTTTCGCCAGTGTGAACACGTTCATGTATCGCGAGGTGGGATTTTATAGAAAATGTCTTTAGACACACTTCACATTTAAAAGGCTTTTCGCCAGTGTGCACGCGCTTATGGTTTGTAAGAGCAGACTTAACAGAAAATGATTGTGAGCATACCAAACATTTATAAGGCTTTTCGCCAGTATGCACGCGTTTGTGTCGTGTGAGATAGGATATTCTAGAAAATGACTTGAGACATATGCTACATTTGTAGGGCTTTTCATCAGTGTGCACGCGTTTGTGTTTTGTGAGGGCGGATGCCATAGCAAAGGACTTAAGGCACAGAACACACTTAAAGGGTTTTTCCCCAGTGTGCATCCGTATGTGCCTTATAAGGTTGCTTTTTTGAGAAAATGACTTTAGACACACGTTACATTTATAAGGGTTCTCTCCTGTGTGTAAGCGTTCGTGTTTTGTGAGGTTGGATTTGAAAGAAAATGACTTTTGGCACACGTTACAGTTATAAGGCTTATTCCCAGTGTGCAAGTGTTCATGTGTTGTGAGGTTGGATTTTACAGAAAATGACTTAAGACACACGTTACATTTGTAGGGCTTATCCCCTGTGTGCACGCGTTCGTGTAGTGCGAGGTTGGATTTTATAGAAAATGTCTTTAGACACACATCGCATTCAAAGGGCTTTTCACCGGTGTGCACGCGTTCGTGTATTCTGAGTGAGGGTTTTTCAGAAAATGACAATGGGCATACAGAACATTTATAAGGCCTTTCGCCAGTGTGCACGCGTTTGTGTTTTCTGAAGGCAGACGGATCGGAAAATGATTTTAAGCATATGGTACATTTATGAGGTTTTTCGCCAGTATGCACGCGATTGTGTGTTGCTAAATTGCCTTTCGAAGAAAACGACTTTGAGCACAAATCACATTTATAAGGCTTTTCACCAGTGTGCACGTGTCCGTGTAGTGTGAGCGAGCCTATTTGAGAAAACGACTTCAGGCACACGTTACATTTATAAGGCTTTTCGCCAGTGTGTACGCGTGTGTGTATTGTTAATTTATTTTTTCCAGAAAATGACCGTAGGCAGACAACACATTTATAAGGTTTTTCTCCGATGTGTACGATGCGATTGTGTGTTGCGAGATAGTTTTTTTGAGAAAATGACTTTAGACACACGTTACATTTATAAAGCTTCTCTCCTGTGTGCACACGTTTGTGTATTGTAAGTTTGCCTTTTTGAGAAAATGACTTCAGACACACGTTACATTTATAAAGCTTCTCTCCAGTGTGCACACGTTTGTGTATTATAAAGGCGGAATTAGAAAGAAAATACTTAAAACACACTTCACATTTATAGGATCGGTTAGTTTTTGTGTATCCTTTAGACAATTTATTGCGATGTATGGTGTTGAGTTTTTGGGGAGAGTATTTGTTCGTTTTGTGGGATTTTATTAAATGTAAAGTTATTTGCTTTTTAGTGTTAAACGAATTTTCACATAAATTACATTGGAAAAACCGCCGTTTTGTTATATCTTCATTGTTATACTTCGTTGCCGTTGGTTTATTGTTATCTGTCTCAATCATTGATTCGAAATAACAGCCATCTGGTATTTTATTTGCTTCATTTCTCGTACGATTGTCACTACAAAAAACATTGTCAAACAATAAGTTATAATTTTTATTTTATTTGTAAATGAATTGATTGAACAAAAAGTCCAGCATCATAAACTTAAGTCGTCCAGTTGAATGGATTTTGGTATAAAATTCATATAAATATTTTTATGTAAACATTTTTCCAGAAAACTCTTTAACTCAAGCAATCTTAACACTTAAACTGGTAAATTATAAAATAGAACTTAGCCTTACATAAAAGTATTTTCGATGATTTGTTTTGCATTTTTAGTGCACACATTTTTTTTTAAATATCGTCGGCATCGTTCTAATCTCTTAGCGCTTAATTCTTTTATATTTATATAAAGTAATAGATATTTAAATCTAAACCAATTGGGTAAGAATAAAATAGTGATAATACATCACTAATCTAATTTAATAAAAATATATTGCTTTTATGATTATTTTTTTTTCATATAATTTTTATACTTGATATGTATTTTAATAATGTTCACTAAATGTGTATGTAATTAATTATTAATATCTCATGGAAAATAACCAAACTGTTGCACTTCTGTTTACTGAGATGAATATACTCCGGACACTTGACGATGCTACAAGGAGTAAACCTTTTTAAAATGACTGGAGTATATACTTAAGTATAAATCAAATTAATAATATAAAAAAACCAATTTTTTTTTTCCTATTTTGCTAAATGTGAGTTTTGCCTTATATATATGATAAAATATTATAAATTTCTCAAAGCACATATTATGGAAAAGTAAACACTTTAATAGTATTATTTTATTTTTATTAAGACCATTGAAATTGTTTGGCTAGTGTGCACCAAACTGTATTATGGTCCGGGCTCTATCGTTCAGGTCTGGGAGTGCTTGGAACCAGACTGGTTAGGTTAAGTTAATAAAATAACTACATACTAATGGTGTTGTAGCGGTTGTAATGTTTGGTGTAGGAATATATTTCTTAACCTATTTAAACAAATTAACATACACCTAGTCATTCACTATGGAATGTCCACGGATACCTTAATAATGTTATTTTTTTTTTTTTGACAAAATATACTTCTAATATTTTTTATATAAATCACATTACTTATATGTATCTCCGTCAATATTTATTTGAGGTTTGTTGTGAGGGTTTGGACAACTCTTGTATGATTTTTTATTGCTATACGGTTCAGTTTTTTTCACTAAGGCTCCGGAAAATTCTTCTATCATATCCTCATTTTCTTCTTCTATTTTGATTACGGTTTCGCAGTTATAATCATCCATTTTAATTCTAGCTAGTTTTTCACTTCTTTAACTGTAGAACACAAAGCATATTGTCAAACAATGAAACACAGGTGAAAACAGTAGTTAAAGTAAAAAAAACCTAGAGGTTTCACCAACGAATCGCACCATAGAAGTAGGTTTACGCTCATCCCGTATTAGAGGCAATGATTAAAATTTTAGAAAATGTAATAAGTTATTGCCAGTAAAAAATACTCTTTAAATAAAATACTAGTGAGGCTTACTAACACAAATAAATAATAATAAATTAGCTGTAATTACTTTTTTACTGCACCAGAAAACAAACATTTGTTTCTATTTGGCTCTAAATATTAAATTAAAAATATTCTTTAATTTTTGGGTTACAGATTATATTTTTAACCAGTGACGTGCGGTATGACATACTACTACTCGTCCAATTGTGGCTATACCTTAAGCTTTTAGGTATAACCAAACAAATTTCTATACCTACTGAAGATTCAACAACATAATAATATAGGTACTAACTTGTCTCACTAGAAAGTCCTACAATATTATTATCCCGTAATAGAAGGACAATGATTAAAATTGTATTCTATAGTTTCAAGAAGAACTGTAAAACAATTTAAACCAGGGGTCGGCAAAAGGCGGCCTGTGGTCCGAATCCGTACTGCGGAGGAGAAATTAATGGACCGCCAAAAATATTTTACTGTTGTCGTATACAGTAAACTTTAACTCTTAAAAATGAGACACTAAAGGTAACGTTAATAAATAAATACGCAAGTCGAGATTATACTATAAAAATAAAGTATAAAAAACAAAACAACAGTCGATACAATATGTTCTCCACCTAGTTAATGCTAAGCGGAGAGACCTCCCCCGGGCCAAGCCCAAGAGAGTCCGTCTCTGACATCACAATTTGTACGGCTTTAAATAATAGAAATAAATATAATTTTCGCTGTATAAACATTTTAACTGTTTGCCATTTGGCCTAGATACATTGCTTAGTTTCATAATTGTATTATAATAATAATAATAATACTATTTTCCCTCGCTCCTACGTTGTTTTGAAAAAATATGTCCTCATATTTTAAAGTCATTATACAATAATAAATATTTCTGTTTTAAAAAAAAAAAAACATATAATCAAGTTCAATATAGAGGCTATTTAGGATAATGATTAAAGGTAGATAGGAGGATTTATATTTGGTCTTATCTTGTATGTCACTAAAATGTAGCAGTTGTATCATTTTTATAATTTGAAGTACATATATAATTATTATATATGAATATATAATATTTATTAAAGCAGTTTTTTGTATTCATTTGTAATCATTTCTTTTGTTTTTAAATTATATCCTTTTTTTTTTTTTCATTAAATCGACCAAGACGAATTCTTTTTTTTCTCTTAGGAATAATGGGAAAGTTATGTCATTGATGAATAGGAAGTGTGTGGATTCATTAATACTGTGTTATTATACAAAAATAAATACAACTTAAGTATTTTCTGGAATTTTTTTTTTCAAATTATGCGGATCTTAGAAACTAATTGCCGACCCCGGATTTTAAACAGTACAATAATTATACATCATTAACACTATTTGTAAATAGAACACACAATGAACAAAAAAATGATAATTCAACCAAGACTGTGTTTCACTTTTACCTAACCTAACCTAACCTTCACTACTATTTTTTTCACAATAAATTATTAATCACATGACCGTTGAAAGCGCTTCTTACTCTATGAGTGTTTGAGTCTTAAACGAATACTTCTAAATGATATTAACCGATTGTGAAAGCCATACTATACCCGTAAACTATAGATTTCTAATTATTATATTAAAAACATAAATAAAACGTTGTTATAAACGATAACGTTAATAAGTACTTACATCTATGCTGGGAACGCTTGCCGAATCTCTGATCCCTAGATCCAAAACGACAGATATTAAATCACAAACTAAATTTAATTCATTTTTTCATACGTAGAAACGCAACAATATAACTTTCTAATTTTCTAATCCGGTTTACTTTGAACGTGACATCAGATGAACAAAAGTCAAAACGACCGTGTTTACTGTGTGTGTAACCGACTGATAACAGATAACGTCGGGGACTGCTAAAGCCTCCTGGTGGTAGAAACTGGAACTGTACGATAGTAAATATTCAAACGAGCGGGCTTAGTACATTCATATTATTATTGCAATATTTTGCAGTACTGGCTCACATCATCAGGGCGTTAATAGGATGGCGTTTGAATTTTAATTATTTTATTACTGAAAAATGTATTTTTTTCCCCCTGATAAATCCATTGTTATAACCTGGTTACTGGTACCAGGCTATTAAGTAATTTATTTGTTGTTCAGAAGTCGAAATCAATGCGAGGAAGATGGTTTTTGAAATAAGTAAAGACTTTTAATAATGTCGGTTTAATTTATTAACACTTTGTAAAACGTGAAATTGACAAACTGTCACAAGAACAGTACATAGGTTGAGTACCCTAATTCGTCTGGCTTAGCCCTGATTATTACTCCTATTTATATGGATATGATAATTTGTGTAATGTGTTATTGTGCGAATTGTGAATTATCTAAGCGGAACGGACACTAAGTAGTTTTTATATATGAAATATATATATTTGCAATTTATCTAATCATTGTGTTAGATAATAATTATAATGGTGTGTTTTTGTGCCGATTATGAATCACGCTTCCGTCTTTGTATAATAATTATGCCAATTATAATAAGTGTGCAATTATATTATATTTATCAGAGTAACATCATTATAATGTGTGCAAAAGTATGTTTACGTGTAGTGTTGTGTGTTTGTGTGAAGGGCAGTGAAGGACGCTGTGCATAACACCATTGATAATAAATAGTAGAGAGAGCCTAGACCGTAGACCTATAAAGAAATGGACCGATAGCGGAGAAACAGGTCCGAGGGTCGATATCGTTAAAAAGAGATAGAGAGATTTGACAGGTATGCCATGGAAGAAAAATTGTTTTTAAATTAAAAGTTAAAGCGTGGACCCTATGCAACCAAGTCACTCGATAAGTTATTAAATTGTACACGTTATATTCGAGAGTTAGGCCCATTTTTGTGTTATTCACTTAAGTATGTGGATAGAAAAAATTAGAAATAATAGTATTACAGCCCTTCTCTCACCTCGTCGAGAACACTTGACTAAATTTTAGATTTTAGTTGAAATTTTTTAGCTAAAATAAACAGGAAAAATAATGTAAAGTACATTTAAGTTAATTGGGTATAGTTTTTTCCCTGTTGGATATAGTTTTAAATTTTTGGTTACCTGACCGTTCCCAATAATAACAATATAATATTATAATATGTTTTTTAGCTTTGGTGCGGAGCTGAGAAGGTATTGTTTTTACAATGATGCGTTTTTATTTAATTTTAATTTTTGTGCTGGATCCACGATATCTCTTAAACCGCTGAGCCTATTTCTTCTTATAGCAACTCTTTAGATCAGAAATCATACCTGGAAGGTACTCTAAAAGGACAAAAATTAAAAAAAGGCACCCCTTCCCCATCAAAATCGAGAAAAACACCCAAAAAATGTACAAATTTTTCAACTTAAAACTACGATCCTCTATAACTTTTTTTAAAATAGTCGAAAAAGTTCCAAATTTATATGAATTGTTCTTCAAACATAGCACTATCGATAAACATTAACAAAACAAAAAATATCATAAACCTTTTACCCTAGAAATGATAGAATTGTTTTCTTTATTTTAATTTTTCAAGCAAAGTTTTAAAAGATTTAGGTCTGAAAAGTAGATCTAAAATAGAACTATAACATATACGATTTTCTCAAAAATATGTATTCAATTTTTTTTTTTATAAAGGAAAAACATAAAAAATAGGGTAAATTTACACTTTGGCCGTAGTCAGTTTTTAGGTTGCTATGTGTGAGGTTATGAAAATATGTTCATTATATTGTTAATTACGGTATATGGGTAACTATGACAGTACATTTTTACAGACAGACGATTAACCCTTATCCACCCTGCACAAGACTAAATATTAAATTTTAAGTACATCATTGCTGGTCCCACGATATCTTCTATACCGTTTTAACTGGTTTGAACATACTATCCACAGATTCAGATCAAAGCGTTTATTTACAAGTGATTTTATCACTTTCAGTTATAATGAAATCTGTAGACCTGTGACCCCTCCGTCCCCACTATGCCCTGATCACACTGTACTAGCTTTTTTTATAATCGAGAATTATAAATTTATATTATCAGATAAAACGAGCAAAGGTAAATGGTATGGACAATAATTGGGGGTGGAAAAAAATATCATATAATTACACGCCTTACTTTTCTATTGACCTTAAGGGGAACGGAACGGGCTATTTATTAAGGGTCAAGGACAGGCAATATTTGAAAAAAATATTATAAAAGTATTGTTTCAATTTTTTCGGTATTTTAATTAAAACCCACTTCATACTTGAGTAATTAATTTAAAAATAAAACAAACGTGTGAATTTCCGGCTGACGGAATTATAATATTATCATAAGAAAAATCTACTTTATTTTTATGAAATAGAAATTTAATTATCATAGTTATTATATTAGTATATACTATAGTCTATATAGTGATTATTATTCTAATATAGCTTCACACTATTCAATAAATAAATTTCCACAAAGTACCTAATATGCGAAGGTACTCATTATACACCTTAACTTCTCTTGGTAAACACTTTAATATTTTTTAGTGAAAAGCAGAATAACATCATCGTTCAATAGTTTTACTGAGAAAATCGTGCACAGACGAGGTAAGCGAATTTGTGTTATACTATGTATATATAATACATTACAACATTAACTTTATTGTACATTCAACATAGGTATTATATACTACATTATATTATTATTTAAACTGCAAGTATGGCGAAAGAAGGGGTGTCCAGTAACACTACTTCAACTAGATTTAATTACATAATTATAATTGTTTTGAATTCCTTAAATTTTTTTTAGTCATTGAGAAGATCGCGTGACCAATTTCGTTTTAATCGACGAGGAGGACGACGTTGTCCTGTCATTGTATTATATTTGTTTTCAAGTTTACTTATTGTAACTAATATTACAGATTGTAAATATATTTTTAATAAAAAAAAAAAAAAAAGTATGGCGAAAGGATATTGTGATCCTTGTTTTATTATATGTTACCGAGATTACGGGGATAAACTATAAAATATATGTAATGTATTATGCATTTACTTTGTGTCCAAATCATAATATTCTATACTGGCGATTAATAATACTTCATTTTTAACTTAACACACTAAACTTGTGTAAGTATATTTTTTATTGTATTTTCAGTTATATGGCGGTTTTTTTTTTAAAATTATATAATTAAAATTACTAATATTAGGTTTACATAATGCTGTATTCGCGGTTAAAATAATACTATTTTAGTATTAAAACGACCATTTTTCATTTACGAATCATATTCTGATAGGTTTATATTAGTAGTAGGTAAAAAATTGTATTATTCCAAAATATATTTTCCAAGAAGTTTTACGCTGCATAAAGTATACACAGAAAAAAATACAAGTTGGAATAACTAAATAAATAGTTGAGCAGACTAAATTTATAGTTGAGGGGGCCGCAGCATGGTTTTTACAAAAAAATATTTAGTAATATAGATATCAAAAAAATAAAAACGCCACCCCATTGATAAAGATTTTCACTATACATTGTGAGAATTTAGTAAATTTACCCCATAAGGGGGTCGGAGCAGAACTAGTTTTCATGCATTTTAGACCAATAAGCGGTGCTAAATTAGACATACTTCCCAATGTTGGATTTTCATTTTTAAAGTATGTTTGGATTTGTTGACAAATTGTCTAGGTTTTTTAGGAAGCCGATTTTCAATTTTCTCTTTCGAAGACCTCCAAAATTATTTTTTACTATTTTTTTTAATTTAGTGATAATTCTCGAATTACATTTGAATTTATTTTAGGCAAATCAAATTTTAAATCGAAAATAGGCCATTATTTACCGAATTAATCACAATGTATAGAGAAAATCTTTATCAATGGGTTGGTGTTTTTACTTTTTGATATCTATACTTAATGTTTTTTTGTAAGAACCATGCTACAGCTCCCGTAAGGCCTCTGGATACCGACCATTTTTAAGGAGTTTTGTATAGGCAATATTTAAGAAAAAAGTGGTTTTTATAAATTCCGACCATATCAATTAATTTACCGGTTAATTTGTATACCTTCAAGGTAAACTTTTTTGATATCTTATTCTTACTAAGTATAAAACACGTTTGAACATTACATAACTTTCCAATTATTAAAATCAAATTTAGAAATGGTTTAAATTATAAATTGAACAAAATTCTCCGACCGATCTCAAGTAAACTTCATTCCGAATTCAAATCTGTTAAAAGAAGTCTTATCGCTTCAATACAATGATCGGACCTATTGAAGTTAAACGGGTGGCTTTTGACGGAGAAATTGGCCGGTACCCAATAGCCTTTAAAGTAACTATACATTTTGTTGTTTAGTCGATCCAACTAAAACGAAATGAATTGTGTCTCTATATTAACCATAATAGTTTAGTTGGACCAACTATGTATTTTATCCCAGTGTAAGTTTTCAAATTACAAAATTTATTCAACAAAATAGAAGATGAGCATAAGCACGAGCGAAATTTTACGATGTGAAACATACATAGGTATACGGGTGTGAAATAGGTAGTGATGACCTTCGGTAGGCGTCAAAACTCGTCGGGCGGCGTCGGGCGGTGTCGGCCGCTGCAGATAATAGCGGAAATAGAGATAATAGAATAGAGAAAAAAACTAGATATACTATATTAGAGATCAAATACTAGAGAAATGCTATTTATAACATAATATCTATGTTTCAGATCAATCGTGTGTCCCATGACATACATTTTTTTGGTTTGATAGACGTTTGAACTATCTTTAATAACAATTTAAAAAAAAAATGTTTTCTTTAATCTAATTAATATTATTTTTAACAAATGTTGTCTCAACTTTTTTTGTTATCTCTAGAGTTTCAGTAGATCTATAATATTAGGTATATACATTTTTTTTTTTTGTTAACCCAGAAGGAAAATGATCATTAATATCGAACAAGGAGCTATACAAGGTCAATATTATAAGACCCGTCCGTCAAATAAACCGTTTGTCAGTTTTCTAGGAATACCCTTTGCTAAGCCGCCCGTCGGTGAACTACGATTTAAGGTAATTAACAGAATGACGCTTGTAATTTGTAAAACTACAACTTTTAAACTGTAGCCTGTGGCCAGGTGTCAAGATGAACTGGACGAGTTATACCCAGATGAAACATATTTACCAAGAATTTTGTATTAATAATTAATATAACTGTTTATTGCAGCCACCTGTCAAACACCCTGGATGGACCGGAGTTTACAAAGCTTTTTCGAAAAAAAAAAAGTGCGTACAACTCGATCCGGTTTCAATGGAAAAAGTTTTTGGAAGCGAAGATTGTTTATACTTGAACATATTTGTGCCACAAGTACGTGAATACACATTCGATATTTATATATTATAGTAAAACGAGAACCGTGTTATCGAATGAATAAATAATTTTAATACTGTTTTTTTCTTCTTTTTTTATAGGAAATCAACGAAAAGAAACCTGTAATGATCTTTGTGCACGGAGGCGTATTTAACTTCGATTCAGGATCGTCAAACTTATATTCTCCGGACTATTTAATCGAAGAAAATGTAATCTTGGTCACGTTTAACTATCGCCTTAATGTTCTAGGTAAAAGACTAAGAGAACTTTTAAACTTTTTATACATGCATATTTAATTAAACTAGTTTTGTATGTTTGATTTTACAAATTGAGTCATGATGCTATTTTATTTTTTTCATTGTTATCTATTACGACCACAAAAGGATTTCTAAATCTGGATATTGACGATTGCCCTGGAAACATGGGTTTAAAGGATCAACTATTGGCGTTTAAGTGGGTAAAAGAAAACATAGCGGCGTTTGGAGGCGACGCTAATAACATAACAGTTTTTGGCATTAGCGCTGGATCAGTGTCGATCCATTGTCATATACTTTCTCCGTTATCGAAAGGTAAATGTTGTTTTTATGCTTCACGGCTGCTAAACTATCATTGTATTTATTCGGAATCGGGTTGATTTGTCAGGTGTGTTCCAAAGAGCTATTATGCAAAGTGGATGTGCTTTTAATCCTTGGACAATAAATTTGAAACACAAAAACGCTGCTCTCAAATTAGCGGCGGATTTGGGTTGTCCGTCAGATGACCCTCACGAAATAGTACAGTATTTAAGAAGAGTTCCTTTAAACGACTTAGTAAATGCTACTAAGGTTGAATCTATAAGTAAAGTACGTATTTACGTAGAATTATTCTTATAGTAAAATTAGGATCCCACTTTACCAGACACCCATTTTTTTTGCCATCTTGTTGAAAAACAGCAGTTCGTTTCCAATTCGTTATCAATAAATTACCATGATCATAGTGTTATACAAATTCAATTGTAGGCTGTCGCCAAAAAACTAAACGACCACGAAGGGCAGAGTAATAATTATTTTACATAATATACGCTCAATCGGTAGTTTGTTAAAAAAAACAAGGAAATATTAGCCACAAAAAAATATCTTTTTAAAATGAACCCTGTGACAAATATATAAACATATAACTATTTAAAACGACTCATTACGCTGGCAGGCTCCGGGACTGTTTGTTAGGATACCCATAGATAATAATAATGAATAATACGAGTAGTTCAGATTGAGTGAAAGCATTATCTTAATGGGAAAAATAGAACAAAAATGTCATAGCGCTTTATTTCTGACCAATGAGAGTGCGTAGCGACACCGTTGTTCGACCAATGGGATCATTCGACGCCGCCACAGCCCCGACCAATCAACGGCGTGCCTGCATTAACGCGAAACTATATAAGGCGGTCGACCGAGCCCAGAAGCCAGTCTCTTGTAGAAAAGCATTTTTTGAACAGATTATTGATATATGTCAAAATGTGATAAAGTTTATTATTTACATTTTGAAGTTTCCTACTATATCCATTCATTTACAATGCATCTCAATGTTTGGGAATTGTTTTAAGGAGTAAAAATGAGTGAAAACCTTACAGGTACTTCACTATAGATGGTAGAAAGAAAGGCGCCACTAGCGGATGGTTAATATAAAAATATAATTTTTTTAGTGGGTTGTTTATAGTTTTTATTGGCCGTTTGATAATGTAAAATTATTATTTTTTTTTAAGGAACAAAGAGAAATTTTAGTTTACCAATTTGTTCCGACCATTGAAAGCGATCAAGTTAGTGAGAGATTGATATCAGCCCATCCTGAGGAGCTGTCGAAAACAGCCACATCGATTCCTTTAATATCCGGACTCACCGATCTAGAAGGAATGGTATTCTTTGGAGGTACATTATTTTTTAAAATTAATTTTGTATGAAATACCGTAAGGCTCCAGTAATTAATGGCGGGTTATTTGCATAATTGATCTAAAGACTAGGCAAGTTTATATCACTAGTTCGTGATTTAAGTAAAACTGATACATTAATATATATTTTTTGTTAGCAGCATATATTTAAATTGTCGAGTTATGAATTTATGAAATACAGTTTTTTTTTATGTTTTCAGATCATAGAATTGGAAAATTAATACCTCCTTTACGTAATGTCGAAGAATTTATTGAATTTTTCAAAGGCGATGTCAAATCCGATGAAGTCAAAAAAAGAATCCGATCGTTTTACTTTAATGGTCACGATTTAAAAACTGACATTGAGAATCTAGAGAGTATTTGCAAGGTAATAACATTATATTAAAGTTACCATAAACAATTTATGCTTGCAATTCCAAAACCTGCTAATAATATGATTGAACACAATACTATTAAACATAAAAAACACACAGTATAAGTATAAATAATAGTATATACAACGTACGTTACAGTTATAACAGCAGCCATAATAGAGTGATGCCTAACACTTTAATACTATGGCTTATATATGGTATAATCTAGGTTACAAATGAAATTGGTCCTTGTACCAAACAACTTTCAAATATTACATAATAATTTCTATAATGTTCGCATATACTACTATATAAGGTCATACTATATTTACTACTTATAACATACTTATATTCCATGACCCAAATACACAATATTAATTATATTCAATACCTGCTTCCAAATTTATCCAGAATTTACTGCTGTTAATAAATGCAATATAAAACAATTTTTTGAAAAATTCAGACAAAAAAAATTATCGAACTATTTTGATTGATATATATATTTATTTGTCTGTACTTTAAATCTCAGAAATTAAACCTACCAGATTCACCTAAAATCATAATGATTTAAATTTTTTTTTTTTAATATTAAAATCTTCTTAAAATATTTAAATACGTGCCGAAAATTTTATTATTTAATATCATTTCATAAGCAAACGTTAAAATCATATTCATCTAGTGTTTTAATTTTTTTTTTTTAGATAACAGGCGATGTGTTTTTCACCAGAGATTTCCACAAAGGATTCGTCCACTTACTGGAAAAAGGCAATACGCCAGCTTATAACTATGAATTTAAATTTGACGGAGAAATTAATCTGATAAAACGATTTTTTTCTTCTAAAAAACCAAATTTACGCAAGTTGAAAGGTACGCCATATCAGTTGTAATTTTTGTTTTTAACATATTTAACTTATTTGTCGATTAATTAAAAAAATGTTAAATTAACTTTGTCAAACGTTTCTAGACAACTGTTTATTTTTCTAGTTTGCTGTGTTAGATTTTTTGTTAACTGAATAAATGAGTACTTTTTAAAAATGATTTGAGAAAAAACGATCAATGAGTAATTTTAATGAATACTTTATATCGACAGGAGCGTGTCACGCTGATGAAACGAGTTATTTATTCCTTGCTAATTCGTTTGAATTCACGCCTAAACCAAATTCCAGAGAATTAAGAATGTGCAGGACAATATGTAAACTATGGACCAATTTTGCAAAAACAGGGTTCGTTTATAGGTGTTTTTTAATAAAACAAAATAAAATGTTAAAACAAAAACAATTTTACTTTTAGAAACCCGAATTCGTCAGATCTTAAATTCAAATGGGACTGTACAAGCTTGGAAAATCCTAAACATCTATCGATTGACGGCGACGATACTCATATGGTCGAAGGCGAAGTGAACGGAGCCAGAGTAAAATTTTGGAAAGACATAGCCGAATTAGTAAAATTAAATGAAAAGCTGTGATGTGTTTCAATGGCGGCTCGTAGGTAAAACATTTGGTGGTGCATATTTATAAAACATATTATAATTTAACTTTATAGTAGTCAATTACATTAAAATAAAAAATTAATTAAAAATATGTCTGTATTTTGAATTGCGACATAATAATAATTTTCACACATTTTTTTTTTGCATTTACACAAAGTATTATAATGTTTACTGCAGTGTTCTGTTACTATTTTATAATAATAATATTACATGTACATGGAAATTATCTTTTTGTAATGCATTCAGCATTGTTCATTTAAAATATACTTCATAAGGAAATACCGTTAACAATTTGTCACGACATAGTTATACCGTATATTTTATTATTTAAATTTCTAATCTGTTTGGGAAAAAAAGATTATCATATTTTTGGACCTATTATCTTTTAGGTTTGCTATTATATTTACATTCGAAATATTTGTCGAAAATGTATGTTTGTATAAGTAGTTGTGGACATACTAGGATTAGGTACTGAAGAATTATAAAACAAATACCGATCTCAAACTTCATTATAAATAAGTAATGGTACTTTAATTTTTGTTCAAACGAAAAGATACTTTTACAGTGATTATTAGTTTTCATATTTTGTATACTCGTATTTTACAATATCTATTACAGAATTATTATTATTCAACGAACGGAGGCTTCTGATACAGTTATTCTGTTCCTCCTGAGCAGATTCTGTATCTAAGTACGTTTTTACTGTAGACCTGTTAATCATATACAGCTATCATATATCGCATTATACAATTTTTCAAGTCAAAATCATCACATTTTAGTTTTTAATACACAATGTATTACTAATATTATGGAAATAGTTTATCTCGAATTATTTTACAGCCTATTATTTAAATGGTTTACTGTTTATTCAAATATTATAATTTTTAAAAAAAATAAAATTTAGATATTTAGATCCAAATTTCAAATTTACCTCATTAGTATCATCTTTTTTTGTGCACTTTATAAATTCATATATTCCCATATTACCACCTAAAAATGTTATAAAATTAAAAATATACCAAAGCATAACATAACAAAACAAAACATACGCTGTAACGAATTGAGTCGTTTCAATTATTATTATTATTGCGTTTTTATGAACAATATTTGGCCTTTAAGGAAATTACACATCGAAAGTCACCTAGCAACAACAATTTTATTTGCCAGTTTGTTTAGTTTTTAAACAAAATAATATCGAAATAAAATTCATAGGGAATGTTGTATCATGAACATTTTTATATTAATTTCAATTCGTCTATCCGTTATACAATGGTTTTAATTTGTAGGAAACAAGATGAAAGCGTTTTATCTTTTTACAACTTGTTCTTACTATCTATAAGTTTGTTTATAGACGAATTCTTCAAAATTTTCCTTTAGAAATAATATATGTATAAAACAACATAACAGTGATTATTAGTTTTAACATTTCTTATTTTATACATTTTACAATATCTATTACAGAATTATTATTATTCAACGAACTCCACATGCTATCAGTGATCACGGAGGCTTCCGATTTAGTTATTCTATGTTTCTTCCGAAGTGATTCTGTATCTAAGTACGCTTTTACTGTAAACCTGCTAACTTTACGACGGGTCACAAGTACCGCATTATACAATTTTTGAAGTCGCTAAAAACATAAAGGGCACAGGTAAAAAACGATAGTAGTCACATTATGAAAATTTGATAGTATAGCAAAAAAAAAGTTCGTGAATTCGTCTCCCTTTTACATAAGAACAAAAAAAAAACACATTAAATGGTATTTTAATAAAAAATGTATTTATTTAAACAATCTGTTGACATAAATAAACAAAAAATTTAATGGAATAAATTGAAGAAAAAAAATGTTCATAATGGCCTTCATTACATTTTTATTTTTGTTACACAGTAAATAATAATAATACTATAGGAATAACGTGAGTCGAATAATTACAAGGATATTATTCACTAGGTTTGTAGATTAATTAATTTGTTTTTAACGAATCATACAATCAAAATTACCTCCTCAGAAATTGCAAATTGTCCATTAACTGTGTAAACATACAGAAATACGTATTAAAACTTAATAAAGTATGCAAGGACAATATGTCATTTTATTCAACGAATGAAACAGTCAATGTTTTGTAGCTATTTAAAAATTTCTTATCATTTTTGTAGCCTTTTGTTACAGCGATATACATGAAGCATTTACAGTGTGATAAACTTAATGAATTAATACCAATGCATTTAGTTTGGTCAACCTCTTCATTATTGTTGTCGAGTTGCTAAAATTATTCAATTTTTGTTTTGAATACACAATGTGAATACTACTTTTATTAAAATAATTTATCTCGAATTATTACAATATCTTTTTTTGAATAAGTTTATTGTGTATTTAATTGTTATATATATTTTTTTAAATTATAGTTATTATAATTAGATACAAAAAATTACCTCGCTAGTAGGTCCCATCGGAGGTTCTTCTTTAAATTCGTCCAGGTCCATAGGTTCAACGTCAACTATAAAATTTACCAAACTTTACTATGCTGAATTGAGTGGTTGCTTTTGAACCTCATAATTGGTAGAAAAAATGATGGTAAGTAAAAAATGTTTACTTCTTTATGTCCTATTAAGAAGCATTCGTAAAGTAAAGCAAATAATTTGGTATTGCTTTTATAAAATGTTTACCAGTAGTATAATATCTGTTGTTTTTTCAAATCGATAAATCCGTATTTAGTTAACTTACATATTTTTTAGTTTAATATGAAAACATGTTATCGTTTAAACACTACAACTGCAAACTTTTTTTCTGCTTTTACACACGTTATACGCGGAATTTCAATATTTTTAATATATTCCAATTCTTGACGAGTCTATTGCTTTTTGTTTTTTTCAAACCGATAAACTCGTACTTAGGTAACCTACATATTTTCTTAGTTTAATATGAAAACATGTTATTACCTGAACAATACACGTACACAATATTTTTCTGCATATGTCCTACAATTTGATAATGGATTAAGGATTTCAATTATTAATGACCCTTTTTGAATAATTATAAATTTAATTATAAATTAAAACTATTATTTTTACATATTGTATAGTATTAATGTTATTATATTTAAATGAAAAGTTGCAAAATATTTTTCAGCATGTTCTACAACTTTAAATCGATAAGAGGCCTCTGTGTCTCTGAATTTCCAATCTCAATTCATCCCCCAAAACGAGTATTATTCATAAGCCAAATATTAATTATGTTAATAGACTTTAATTTCTGAAGAGTCTTATTAACTTATTAAAAATAGAAATTTATACATTTGAAATCCAAAAAATATATATACGACAGGATTATTGGGTTAACTGTAAGCAAACGTGGCAAATGTAGATTAATTTATTAAATAAAAATAATAATGCATTTATTTATATTTCATTGTAAAAAACAGCAACTGTTACCTACTATCGTATTCTGCCCTTTAAAATTTTCATATTGTACATATCAATATTATAGTTAGATAATGATTTAAGTATTTAACTATTATACACATTGATGTAGAGAATATTATCAAAATATGTAGCTATAAAACAACATTATTATTTAATTATTAAATTAATTAGTGATAGCCATTGTTAGTGTAAAGCTTTAGTTTTTCTAAAATTCTACTTAAAAACTTTTGTAGGTTTTTTATTTTTGATATAATAATTTAGCTATGGACAGAGTAGTCTCATAAATAAACAACAACCAAATTATTATTTCAAAAGAACTGTAATTTTGTGTTTTGGTTGACAAGACATTTTATTTGTTTTTAGTCGGCAATTGTACACGTTACGAAGCTAAAATTTACATTATTTTTTATAACTACAAAATACGTTGATTAAAACGAACGATTGTATGGTATTCTGATAACTTAACCGAGTTTGAGAATTGAGCTTGTAAAGTTATAAATTAAGATCATGTTAACTATGCTGTTTGGGATGATATTAAAAATTCATATTTATGTAGGTAACCTACATATTTTCTTAGTTTAATACATAAAACATGTTATTATTTGAACAATACGACTGCAAACTGTTTTTCTGCTTTTACAAAAGTTATACGCCGAATTTGAATATTTTTAATAGATTTTTGTTCCTGACGAGTCTCATATAATTGGAAATAAATGCATGTTTCAGATTTGTGACTGAAAATTAAATGATATTTAAGTGTGGCCACAATATTGTTTTTTTTACAAACAACATATATTTAAAATAAGAAAAGTGAATAACAAAAGTACTCGGTACAAATTATAATGAATACACTTTAAATCAAACGGTAAAATGGCCGTAAAATGTTTTTGTTTACATTGTAATTTGTAAATGACCCTTCTGCTTGAAATCAATTCCGACGACTTCTTGTCAAGTCAGTTGTTCCAAAAATTGATAAGAGATGTGCAACATGTGATAACAGCGGCGGTCAGCTGGAGGTAGAACGCTGTAAAGGTAAATATTGAAGTGCGAGGGGTGGGTTTGAAAAACGGGGTTACTTATTAATAATATTTACACTTTGATTGATTAATACTGAGTTAGTTTGTACAGTACTGAGTACAGTTCAGTTAAATTAACCCCAGAAGACACCTCACGTATAATCCATGTACCTTAATTGTGTTTGTAGATGTATGGTGTACTTTCCAAAATCTTAACTTGTGATAAACGTTATCTCAATACATTACAAAACGGGCAAATTATTTGAACAATATAAAAATTTAAACAAGTGAAACATCAACAATTTTTGGAATAACTGTCCCCAGTCGTATTTTTTCAGTGTTAATTAATCGAAAAGTCAGCTGAATTTTCTGAAGATAAATAGGAAAAAGCATATAAATTGTATATATTATTTTACTATCTCTTTAAAGAACACCACACTTCTGTGTATGGTAAAAGTTAAAACTAAGTTATTGTTTTGGATTACGAATAATTTTAATTAATTATTAAATATAAATTAGTTTAATCAAATTGGATGTTACTAGTTTAAATTTTGGTGCACAAAACTAAATCATGGTTTTTTTTTATAATACATTTTTATTGTTTATTAAAAATGATTACATTCTTTGCCTGACTAAATTTAGGTGAAAAAATTTGGACATCTTTTGCATTCAACCATCTAGGTCG